AGCCACCACACCCAGCATAAGTCCCATGTTTTGAAATAGTTTTAACTAATCATTTGGGGTTTTTCTCATTTTTTGTAGATCAAAAATAGCATGAAAATTATATCTCACTGTAAAAATGAACGAGCCAGGCACGGTGGCTCACGGTTGTAATCCCAGCACTTTGGGAAGCCGAGGCAGATGGATCACTTGAGGTCAGGAGTTCAAGACAGCCATGGCCAACATAGTAAAACCCTGTCTCTACTAAAAGTACAAAAAAATGAGCCGGATGTGGTGTCGGGCAACTGTAATCCCAGCTACTAAGGAGGCTGAGGCAGGAGAATTGATTGAACCCAGGAGGTGGAGGTTGCAGTGAGTCAAGATCGCTGCACACCAGCCTGGGTGACAGGGCAAGACTCTGTCCAAAAAAAAAAAAAAAAAGATAGACGTCTTGAGTCTCAAATGGAAAGCAGTGTCTTCATTGTGACTCAATTAATGGGTTAAAAAAATGGTTCCAGAATTATGCAACTAACGAACATTGCTCCTCAAAGCAGCCACCGTGGAAACTGAACTTATTTCAGGAGGCAAGCTGCTAGTGATTGGGAAGTCAGCATCCCTAAGTTTCCCACAGCTGGCCTGAGAGACTGAATGGAACAAAAGAAACTGAACCCTGCTAAGAAAAAGAAGCCCAGACTGACATACCATGCCTGACTCATTCACAAATCATGTGGGGCCTCGAGACCATCTGACTCAAACCCTTTTGTCTCGCAGTCAAGGGAACTTGCCCAAAGCCACAGAGCTGGTGTGAGGAAGAGCAACATCTACTGACCACCCGCCTCCACTAGGAGGTCCGTGGGACTGACCTAGGGTACGCCCTTGCAGTTAATGCGCCTAACACGTGGGGGCGCCCGTGTTCCCCCTTCAGCCTTCACTACATACTGAGTTTTCCAGCCTTCAGTCTGTAAGCGGCTCTGAAATTCTAACAAAAGGTTATTGAACACGACTGCATATCAAACTCTGCGAGCTGCTTTCTCTAGTCACAGAAAACACTTCCATATCCCCCCCCCACAGACGTTTTGCACACAAAAAAGATACGGCCCGTGAATTTTTAGTCACTTGCTGAAGGTCAAGGAGCTAGTAAGGGCAAATCAGGGTTCAAACAACATCTAGTTGACTCCAGAATCTGAGCTTTTACACCCTACTCCTGCGTCTGCTAAACAGTGCAAATCTGCAAGCTGGGAAGCAGTCTGTGTCTAGACCGCAGTCCAAGAGGAAGAGTCTTTCAGTGTCTTTCCAGAAGTTGAGGAGAATCCTTGGCTCCAAATTCTCCCAACTTAGACATGATGAAAGAAAGACCTAGAGGCATTGGGGAACAGGGCTTACTGTCCACGGCCACATACTGCAAAAAGAGGGGAACTGGAAGAGCCCGCGGAACCTCAGCCCCTGCTCCCCAGGTGCCCCTAGAGCCACGTGGACCCTCCCGGTGTGCTTCAGAACCCCCAAACTCCTTCAGCAGCAATGCGGTCCCTTCCTTACAGGGTCCTAGTGTCCTTCTCTCTCACTCCGTTCCCTGCATTCTTTGGGGCGGCTGTATTTTAACCCATTTTCATGTGCATTACAACTCTAGCTCTGTTGGAAAAAACAGGCGCTCGAAGGAAGGAAGAGCAATTGGTCCGTGGCTCTTAGATAACTGGGCGCCGAGCCGGGTGCGGCGGGTCAGGCCTGTAATCCCAGCACTTTGGGAATCCGAGGCGGGCGAATCACGTGGCCAGGAGTTTGAGACCAATCCTGGCCAACAGGGTGAAACCCAGTCTCTACTAAAAATACAAAAAATCAGGTGGGCGTAGCGGTGGGAGCCTGTAATCTCAGCTACTGGGGAGGCTGAGGCAGAAATCACTTGAACCTGGAAGGCAGAGATTGCAGTGAGCCGAGATCTTGCCACTGCATCCAGCCCGGGCCACAGAGTGAGACTATGTCTCTAAATAAATAAATAAATAAGTAAGTAAAAATAAAAAGGAAAGCTGGGAACCTATGCTTACAGTACTGAGGCCCACTCCAGTGGGCTTGGGGGTTGTCCCAATCCAGGAGGCAGACAAATAATAATTACTAAAATGTTTAGTGATTGCCATATACCAGATCCGGTGCTGGTAACCCAGCGCACTGACCATATGCAAAGCCTGATGGAGGTGAATCATTTCGAGAAATCCCACAGAGGCTGGGCTCAGTGGCTCAGGCCTGTAATCCCAGCACTTTGGGAGGCTGAGGAGGGGGTGGATTACCTGAGGTCAGGAGTTTGAGACCAGCCTGCCCAACATGGTGAAACCCTATCTCTACTAAAACTACAAAAATTAGCTAGCTGGGCGTGGTGGTGGGTGCCTTAATCCCAGCTACTCCGGAGGCTGAAGCAGGAGAATCACTTGCACCTGGGAGGCGGAGGTTCAGGAGAGCCAAGATCACGACACTGCACTCCAGCCTGGGTGACAGAGCGAGACTCTGCCTAGGAAAAGAAAAAGAAAGATAGAAAGAAAAAGAAATCCATGAGGTTGAAGTCATCAGTTACAGATGAAGGAACTGAGGTACAGAAAGGGTGAGTTACTTGCCCAGGCTCTCCCAGCTGAGTGGTGGTATCTGGACTCAGGCAGCCTGGTCTGGGAGCAGGTTTCTAGCCACTCCTCTGTGGAGTCACTCTTCCAGCCTTTTCCAAGCCAAATTATTCAGCCTGTTTGTCTTAGAAAGATGATTGCATATGCTTGCACAGGACTTGCATATACTTACAGTTTATGTGTATTTCCTAGTTAATATCTCATTTAATCATTCACTCAACATGGATGAATTGAATCATTCACTCAATTTGTTGAGTGTCTACCAACTGCCAAGCGCTGTGCCCTAAATCCTTTCTGCTCAAAATGTGGCCCCTAGGGCAGGCGCCGTGACTCACACCTGTAACCTCAGCACTTTGGGAGCCTGAGGCAGGCAGATCACAATGTCAGGAGTTCTAGACCAGCCTTGCCAATATGGTAAAACCATGTTTCTACTAAGAATACAAAAATTAGCTGGGCGTGGTGGCGCGTGTCTGTAATCCCAGGTACTCAGGAAGCTGAGGCAGGAGAATTGCTTGAACCTGGGAGGTGAAGGTTGCAGCGAGCCAAGATTGTGGCACTGTACTCCAGCCTGGGCAACAGAGCAAGACTCTATCTCCAGAAAAAAAAAATGTGGCCCCCAGACCAACAGCATCAGCATCATCTGGCAGCTTGCTAAAAGGCAACATCTTGGGCCGTGGTATAGACCTTAGAATCTGCATTTAAACAAGCTTCCCAGGAGATTCACAGGCACATTGAAGTTGGAAAAGTATGGCTTTGTAATGTTTCTGTAATACCATGAAATAGATATCTCATTTAATGAATGGAATCTGAGATACTGTGACTTGCTTGTATCCCTATGACTAATAATGAAGCAATACATGCAAAGAGCTCACAACAGTGTTTTGCACATAGTATGTGCTCAGTAAAGAATATGGGCAATGACAGAGCCAAGCTGTGAACCATCTGATTTTCAACTGCATAGTCCCTTAGCCTCAGAAGAACCCATTTAGGCACCAGGCATTCATTCCACCAGGTGAGGCGAGCATTGTGACTATGGCTTCCCTCCCAGCTCAGCCAGTCTACAGAAAGGGGAACTAGGGGGTCCAGAATCTACCACTGTGGCGAGCCTGATCCTGTAGGGGGGGGGGGGGGCATCCTGGGGTGGGGACGTTATTCTCCAGAAAAGGCCAGATATAGAAAGAGGGGACCAGACGCGCTCTGAGGGATGTCTCCTGTAAACCCCATGTCCTCACACCTCAGCCCCTCTGCCTGCAGGACGTCTTTCTCGGTGAGGACCCTGTACCCCAGGCCTCCTCAGGCCTCCCTCTCCTCACCTCCTGCCCTCGTCTCTTCAGTAGGTGGCCACCGTGGGAAAGCCACTTGCACCCTCCCTCTCAATCAGTAGGACACAGCCATGTCTCTGACAGTGGTCTGGGCTTGTCTCCCTCTGCTGACCAAGTCCTTCCCCAGGGCCCTCAGCTAGGGTCCGTGGTGACTTCCCCAAACCTCCCTCCTAACTTCCTGGAACTTCCTGGAAAGTGCTCACTCCCCATCCTTCTTGGAGAACTACAGACAAGAAAACATACTTATTTTTAAACAGCTTATTATTTTATCTCTTTTATTGTTTGAAATAAAACTTTAATACACAAATGTTTTAAGCAAAATTTGCTTAAACATTCAAGTAATAATATTCAAATCATAAAAAGCAAAAAAATCCCCCACCCGTTCAATATTTCACGAGTCTTGACCACCTGTTTCCTTTGCACCATACTTATTAGGCTCGGAGGCCACGCAGCACCCACAGAGAGGCTTGTCATTGCGGGAACGCCCAGGCTGTGCCATTCGCACACCCATTGCCTTTGCCCTATAACTGTCTACTTGGGACAAGAAATGTTCCAAGAGGGTCGGGCGCAGTGGGTCACGCCCGTAATCCCAGCACTTTGGGAGGCCAAGGCGGGCGGATCACCTCAGATCAGGAGTTCGAGACCAGCCTAGCCAACATGGTGAAACCGTCTCTACTAAAAACACAAAAATTAGCCAGGCACAGTGGCGTGCGTCTGTAATTCCAGCTACTACGGAGGCTGAGGCAGGAGAATCTCTAGAGTCCGGGAGGCGGGGGTTGCACTGAGCTGAGATCGCGCCGCTGCACTCCAGCCTGGGCGACAGGCTGTCTCAAAAAAAAAAAAAAATGTTCCAGGAGCGTCTCTCCAATGTTAGTCCCAATCTGCGTCCTCATTCCACCCCGGCTTTCACTCCCGACCCCTGGCCGCAGCCCCGCCTCCAGCGATCCCCGGGACGGAACCCCCGGCCCACCGCAAGGGAGCAGCCGCGACCCCGGCTCCAGGGGATGATCCCCGCGCCTGCGCAGCCCCGGACGCAGCTCCGCGCCCGCCCTCGCCTCCGGGCGGAGTCCACGCGCACCCGGGGGAGGAGCCCCGGCGCCTCCACCTACCGCGGGGTCCCGTAGGGGGCGGAGTCCACGTGGGCCGCGGCGCCGAGAAATCTCCGCCCCGAGCTGGGCGGGCCGGCGTAGCGGTGCTGGGTCTGGCCGAGGGGCGGCCGCCCGCAACCGGTGAGTGCAGCCGCCCGCCCTCCGGTTGACTCACGGCCGGCGGGGGAGTCGGGAGGGCACCAGAGGGAAGTGTGGGCTCGGGACCCTCCTCCGTCTCGGCCACCTGCGGAGGTGCTGCCCACGCCTGGAAGCCCCCAGGAACTCTCAGCCCCGCGTCTGCGCCCCTCTCCCCACACCCCGAGGCAGAGTTGGGAAAGCAGTGGTCTTAGAACCCCCTTGGACACTCGGAAGAGAACGGGGAGACGCCCCTCCCCTTCCCCGGCGGGCGTAGCGCCCCCCTTGCGCTCCTGGGTAGCCCCCGGGCAGGGAGGGCCCGAGGGTGGGCACGGCGTCCTCGGCGACTCTGCGAAGCCCCTTCAGCGTCTCAACCTTCAAGGCTGTTGCAGAGGCGGCTTGCTTCCCACCTGTCCATCTCCACAAAATCCCTGGAGGAAACATGCCCATGTGTCCAGAAATTCTAAGGACTTGCTGCATTTCAGATGAAGGCTTTTCCAGAGGCATTCCCGTTGGAGAGGATCAGGCTCCCAGCTGGTTAGGGTCAGCAGCGTTCGGCAGGTCTCTCTCCAGCCCGCGGTTTTGTCAGGATTCTCTGTAAAGTGTCCCGAAACCTGATGAGGGGAAGTTATTACATTTCAGCGAATTGGCGCCAGCCAGTGTAAGCAGCACGTTATTGAATGTGCTGCTCATGAAACTATGAGAATGCTGAGATTGTTAGCCATCCTTATTTCTGAGATTTAAAAAGTATTCTAAAGTGTTTTTTACAGTCTGAATTATAATAGCTACCACGTACCCGGTATCTACTTTGTTCTTTTCGATTTTCACCATAACTTACAGAGAGTCTGGTGCAAGAACCGGTGGTTGGGCAGCTGCCCTCGGTGAGGCTGGGGGTCCCCTCTGCCGGGGCAGCCGGGGTGTAGACCACTCAGACTGCTCTCAGTGGACTGGGATGATTTGGGGCAGGGAGAGCAGAGGTGGCACGGTAGCCCTGCGTGAGCATTATTTTGTTTTGTTTTGTTTTCTGAGACGGAGTTTTGCTCTCGTTACCCAGGCTGGCGTGCAATGGCGCGATCTCAGCTCACTGCAACCTCTGCCTCCTGGGTTCAAGCAATTCTCCTGCCTCAGCCTACCAAGTAGTTGGAACTACAGGCACACGCCACCATGCCCAGCTAATTTTTGTATTTTTAGTAGAGATGGGGTTTCACCGTGTTGACCAGGATGGTCTTGATCTCTTGACCTTGTGATCCCCCCGCCTCGGCCTCCCAAAGTGCTGGGATTATAGGTGTGAGCCACTGTGCCCAGTGGGCATTGAAACAGAGCCACAGCTGCTTCTTGGTGACCAGGAATAACTATCTGCAGTTAAGCTGGGGGTAACTGCATGGCTGGGGGTCTCATTTATGATTCTGAGCTCTATGCGTGTTGTGGTCATCTCATGCACATCTCCCCCAGGTGAGTGGTTGGTGGTCCTGGACTGCGGGATCCACATCTTTGTCTTTTCACTCTGGTCCCTTAAAAAGTGGGAAATAGGTCAGCAGCAGTGGGTTGGACTGGCTTCTTTTTGAGAGTGGGAAGAGGGAGGACAGAGAAAGCCAGGATGTGTTAGAGGTTCAAACTCCAGGCAGAAAGCAAGCAGGACCAGCTCCCCAGGTGGCAGCTGTCACTCAGGAGTAAGGTGGATGGTGCACATGATGGGCTGCCTAGCACACTGTTGGTGCTTAATAAGTGTCTTCTGCATGAAGAAAGGTGAGAGGGGCTGCCTTTCCTGCCAGGTTTGCCACACCCCGCCACACTTGGTGCGTCTCTGTGATTTGACTCCCTCCCAGCCATGCTCCCTTTTTGGCCATATTGGCTCTTAAAGTTAGTTGACAGCAAAAATGGCCGGGTGGAGGTTGCTTGGCACCTGTTAGAGATGTTAGAGATAAATGAGCTAAGTCTGTGGCCTCTTTTGCCCACTGCTACCCACAGGGATGCCAGAAGGGCCGTTGGTGAGGAAATTTCACCATTTGGTCACCCCCTTTGTGGGCCAGCAGGTGGTCAAGACAGGGGGCAGCAGCAAGAAGCTACAGCCTGCCAGCCTACAATCTCTGTGGCTCCAGGATGCCCAGGTGAGCCTATCTTCCACTGAAGGTAATGATGCAATTACATCCTACTGGGTCCATCTCACAAGACATGGGAATCAGGGAGCTATAATTCAAGATGATATTTGGGGACACAACCAAACTATATTGTTTTACTGCTGACCTCTCCCAAAGCTCATGTCCTCACATTTCAAAACCAACCATGCGTTCCCATCAGTCCCCCAAAGTCTTAATTCATTTTAGCATTGAGTTAAAAGTCCACACAGTCCAAAGTCTGATCTGTGACAGATCATAGGCAAATTCCATCTACCTATGAGCCTGTAAAATCAAAAGCAAGTGAGTTACTTCCTAGATACAGAGGGGGCACAGGCATTGAGTAAATACACCTGTTCCAAATGGGAGATATTGGCTGAAATGAAGGGGCTACAGGACCCATGAAAGTCTGAAATCCAGTGGGGCAGTCAAATCTTAAAGCTCCAAAATGATGTTTGACTCCATGTCTTGCATCTAGGGCATGCTGATACAAGAGGTGGGCTCCTACAGCCACCCCTGTGGCTTTATAGGGTATAGTCCCTCATCCTGGCTGCTTTCACAGGCTGGCGTTGAGTGTCTGTGGGTTTTCCAGGACGTGGTGCAAGCTGTCAGTGGATCTACCATTCTGGGGTCTGGAGGACAGTGGCCCTTTTCTCACAGCCCTACCAGACATTGCCCCCCCAGGGAACGCTGCCCTGGGGCTCTAACCCCGTATTTTTCTTCTGTACTGCTCTAGCAGAGGTTCTCAATGAGGGCTCTGCCCCTGCAGCACACCTCTGCCTGGAAATCTAGTCATTACCATGCATCCTTAGAAATCTAGGTGGAGATTTCCATACCTCAGTTCTTCTATGCACCCGCACACTCAACACCATGTGTAAATCATGAAGGCTTGGGGCTTGTACCCTCTGAAGCAACAGTCTGAGTTGTGCATTGGCTCCTTTTAGCTGCAACCAAGTCCCTAGGCTGCATACAGCAGCGGGGCCTGGACCTGGCCCAGGAAACCATTTTTTCCTCCTAGGCATCTGGGCCTGTGATGGGAGGGGCTGCGGGGAAGGTCTCTGACATGCCCTGGAGAGATTTTCCTTATTGGCTTGGTGATTAGCATTCAGCTCCTAGTTGTGCAAATTTCTACAGCCAGCTTGAGTTTCTCCCTAGAAAATGGGTTTTTCTTTTCTACTGCATCATCAGGCTACACATTTTTCAGACTTATGCTCTGCTTCCCCTTGAATGCTTTGCCACTTTGAAATTTCTTTCACCAGATACCCTAAATCATGTCTCTCAGGTTCAAAGTTCCATAGATCTCTAGGGCAGGGGACTAATGCCACCAGTCTCTTAGTATAGCAAGAGTAACTTTTTTTTTTTTGAGACGGAGTTTCGCTCTTGTTACCCAGGCTGGAGTGCAGTGGCGCGATCTCGGCTCAATGCAACCTCTGCCTCCTGGGTTCAAGCAGTTCTCCTGCCACAGCCTCCGGAGTAGCTGGGATTACAGGTGCGTGCCACCACGCCAAGCTAATTTTTGTATTTTTAGTAGAGACGGGGTTTCACCATGTTGGCCAGGATGGCCTCAATCTCTTGACCTCGTGATCCGCCCGCCTCGGCCTCCCAAAGTGCTGGGATTACAGGCATGAGCCACCACACCCGGCCAGTCCTTCCATTTTTAACCTCTTACCACAGCACCTGGGACCTCCATGTCTCCCGCTCACCTGGGGCCAGGGTGGGTGGGTTCCCCGGGTTCCCTCTTCTTCTGCAGCAAGGACTCTGCTCTGCCTCATCAGTTCTCCTTCCTGTGCCCATTTCTCATTTTCTGTACCTCTGTCTGTTCCTCCTCTTGCTCTTGAGAGTTTAGAGCTCTTTGGTTCCTTTGGTTGGGAGCAGTGCTAACAGCGCACACCCCAGCTGCTGTGTCTGACCAGGAGCCCCCCTCCCAGTGTGGGGCTTCCACCTGTGCCTTCAGGTCGGTCCCCTCAGCTGGGGACACCTTGTCACCCTGTCTCCTCTGCCCTCCACTCTTCCTGTGAAGCCCAGCCCGGGTAACGGCCACCTTCTCCTCATGCTGTGGGCTCCTCTTCCCTATGCAGCCTCTGCTTCTACCCACAATTTTCTGTTTTTTTTTTTTTTGTCCAGATGGGGGTCTAACTTTGTTACCCTGGTCTGGAACTCCTGCGCTAAAGCCATCCTCTCATCTCGGCCTCCCAGAGGGCAGGGATTACAGGCATGAGCCACTGTGCCTGGCCCACGCACGCTTTTCTCCGCGCTCTTGTAGAATCTGTTTTCATACTTGTCCCCCCTCACCCCTACCACCTTTTAAAATTTTTTTTAAATTATGATGAAAAACACATGACAAAATTTACTGTCTTCACTATTTTAAAGTGTATAGTTCAGTGGTATTTAGTATATTCATGTTGTCTGACAGTTTACCTGAACTGTTTAATCTCCCCAAGCTGAAACTTCATACCTGCTGAACACGAGCTCCCCCTCCTCCCTGCCCCCAGCCCCTGGCAACCGCTTTTCTACGTTCTGTCTCTATGAATTTTACTCTCCCAGGTACCCCGTATCAGTAGACTCATACAGTGTTTGCAGTTTTTTTGACAGGCTTATTTCAGTTAGTATAAAGTCTTCAAAGCTCACCCACGTTATAGATATGTCAGAATTCCCATCCTTTTCCAGGCTGAATGATAGTGTAGACCACACATTTTGCTTGTCTGTTCATTCATGGATGGACATTTGGGTTGCTCCCACCTCTTGGCAATTGTACGTAGTGTCATCTCCCCTTTTAAATGTGAATTTTTAAAAGGGATGGTTGGAGATTGTCTTCATCTATTTTTGCTGCTGTTACGGGAGATTTAAGACTGGATAATTTATAAACAATAGAAGTCTACTTAGCTCACGGTTCTGGAGCCTGGGAAGTCCACATGGCCTTAGCACCTTGCCGTGTCATTTGCAATTGGTATCATTCCATTCAGGAATCATTCCATTCCATCAATATGGCCTCATCTCCAAGGTACCCTCTCTTACCACTCACAGTTGCATTGGGGATTAAGTTTCCAGCACATACTTTTTGGGGAACACATTGAAACCATTGCAGAGCCTTGCTCATCTGTTTGCCATCAGAGCCTAGCGCACTGCCAGGCACAGTGAATTAGCTTGATTAATGATTAACAAATTGAAGTGGCTGCAATGTCACAGGAACCTAAAAGAGGGACAGCAGAAATGGCCATAGTAGGAGAGGACATCCTGACCTAGACATTTTTGACCTAATAAATGTTTTGATCACGATGGGCATTTGACTGTTACGTTCATCAGAATTATATCAACATTGGTGAATTTATACCAAGAAATATTTTCTGCAGCAAATTCTATAATGCCCACTTAATTCCTTGCTCAGTTTTTTTTTATGTACGTCAGTTAAACCATTTCTAATACATGGCAGAAAACACTCTGTGCTCAAAACTTAGGGATAAGCTATTCTGGGATTATTTAGAAAGGTAATGCTCTTCTGAGTGGAGGATTTCTATGAATCTGTATACTAATTAACAAGTTAAAGATCATATCAGAACAGCGATCTTTAAGCACAGACCTATGGTGGTCAAAAAAGTAACACAAACGTTTCCAGTATGAATGCCAGCTGTTTTGGTTTATACTCTTTGAAAGAGTGCCTGAACTTCAGGCTGTGTAGAGCCGACTCATCCTGGAATCTGGGCACACACATTTTGCATATCAGGAGGTGCAGTATGAAAATAAACTCAAAGCAAGGGCTGGGTATGGTGGCTCACGCCACTAATCCCAGCGCTTTGGGAGGCTAAGGCAGGCGGATCACTTGAGGTCAGGAGTTCGAGATCAGCCTGGCTAACATGGTGAAACCCTGTCTCTACTAAATATACAAAATTAGCTGGGTGTGGTGGTGTGCACATGTAGTCCCAACTGTTTGGGAGGCTGAGACTAGAGAATCCCTTGAACCCAGGAGGCGGATGGAGGTTGCAGTGAGCCGGTCTGGTACCGCTACGCTCCAGTCTGGGCGAGACTCCATCTGAAAAACAAACCAAAAAAAAGAAAAACTCAAAGCAGCCAGAACATCCTTTAACACACATTTTCTATATATATTTTCTTCTACTGAAATCACTTGCGGTGAGATGAGGTGAGTCCTTTGCCTTGTACATTTTACAGTGGTGATTTGAGTCGATCAATTTTTGTTTTGGTATCTAATTTTTGTTGATTATAATTTCCTTATGAAGTCAAATATGCTGGCAGAGGGGTGGTGAGGGCACCGAATTTCACAGTACGTTGTCTTTAGCTGCTCTTTGTGTGTGCACGTGTCTGTGCGTTCACACGCACTGTTTTTATTTCTGGCATAGAAAATGTATCATGAGGCCCGGCTTGGTGGCTCACGCCTATAATCCCAGGACTTTGGGAGGCCGAGGTGGGCGGATCACGAGATCAGGAGTTCAAGACCAGTCTGGCCAACATAATGAAACCCCATCTCTACTAAAAATACAAAAAATTTAGCTGGGTATGGTGGTATGCGCCTGTAGTCCCAGCTATTTGAGAGGTTGAGGCAGGAGAATTGCGTGAACCCGGGAGGCGGAGGTTGCAGTGAGCCAAGATCGCGCCATTGCACGGCAGGCCGGGCAACAGTGCAAGACTCTGTCACAAAAAAAAAAAAGAAAATGTATTATGAATGGATTGAAGGAATGACAATTTATGTTCATGTCTTAGCTACTGCATGAAAACATTGGGAGCGATTCCCCTCAGATATTCCAGGTGGCCCTGCCATCCAGCGTGGGTCTGTTTCACTGCCCACTAAGCCTCATGCTTGCTCCCAGTCACTTTGGAAACCACCTGCGAACTGCCCATACGCTGGAGCAAAGGAGCAAAAGGCAGAGCCCAAAGACTGCATTTGGGAAGGCTCCACGGATGGGGCGAGAAGGAAGAAATTTGCAGTAGGATAGGTAGCTGCATTCCCCTGTTCCCCTCTGGGTCTATAAGGCTTAGATCTATGTTCATTTTTTGTAGGTCCATGGAAAGAAATTATTCCTTAGATTTGATCCAGATGAAGAAATGGGGCCACCTGGCAACAGCCCACCACCAGAACCTCCACAAAAAGACATGCAGAAGGAAGAGGCTGCAGACCCAAGGCAGGCCTGGGAGCCCAACGGGCGGAAGACCCCTGATGGATCATCATGGTCCGAAGAGCTGGTCCCCCAGTGTTTGGCAGGAGCCGCCCCTGCAGGAGGTGCTGGGAGCTGGCTGCGTATCTGTTTTGGTTTGTTTGGCAGCATTTGGGCGAACGAGTTCTCCAGAGCCAAGAAAGCCAACAAGAGGGGTGACTGGAGGGACCCTGCCCCCAGGTAAGGGTGTGGCCATCTGATTCTCATGGGCTCTGATCATCACGGGTCCCTGCTTGGCAAGGTTTGGGACTTAGGCAGCGGGGACATACTGAGGACGAGGCCACCTCTGTGTCTACCAGTGATAGGAAGTGGACTGTGGTCTGGCCAGGAGAGGGTCACCAACCAGCGGTGGCTGGGAGAACGGTAGAACTTTCCCAGTGAATGTGGCACTTGCTGGGGAGACGTCCCTGCATTGTCTGACTAGTGTGCTTTGAGTTTAGGGACAGGATTTCCCAGTTTTTTTTTTTTAAAGTATATTGCTTGTGTGTCTATTTTTTATTGAGATATAATTAATATACAGTAGGATACAGATCTTAAGTGTTCAGTTTGATGAGTTTTTCTGTTTCTTTTTTGAGATGGAGTCTTGCTCTGTTGCCCAGGTTGGAGTGTAGTGGCGCAGTCTCGTCTCATTGAAACTTCTGCCTCCCAGATTCAAGCAACTTTCCTGCCTTAGCTTCCTGAGGAGCTGGGGCTATAGGCGTGCACCACCACACCGGCTAAGTTCTGTATTTTTAGTAGAGACAGGGTTTCACCACATTGGCCAGGCTGCTCTGGAACTCGTGGCCTCAAGTGATCCACCTGCCTCTGCCTCCCAAAGTGCTGGGAATGCGGGCAGGAGCCACCGTGCCCACCCCAGTTTTTAATGTATGAATGTCGAGATCAACATTTTGTGCATAAAACTCTACCTAGGATTAGGATTATGTCCTTTGTGTCAATTCCCAGAGGAGCAATTGCTGGTCAAAGGGAATGCAGGTTTTTAGGGCTGCACATTTTTATGGCCTTAGGAACTGCTAGTTGAGCTGAAATATGAATGTTAGCGCGTTTGTGCACCTCTTATCAATGCATTGAAGCTTGTGGACAGAAAGTCTGTTTGTCTTTGTGCCGTGTGTTGCCAGTATTGTTCCAAGTCTGTCCTTTGTCCTTTCACGGTGCTTAGGATGCCTCTTGGCATTTGAGATTTTAAATTTTTATGTCGTCCGTGGTGGGTGTTTTTCTTGGTTGCTTGCAGGTTTCCCCTTTTGCTAAAAAAGGCCCCTTCTGTCCCCAGAGAAAGTCACGTGACTTCTATTTTCTGAAGTTTCGTAATTTTTAAAAATGTTTAGAACTGTAGTGTGTCTTTTTTTTTTTTTTTTGGAGTGCAGTCTTGCTCTGTCACAAGGCTGGAGTGCAGTGGTGTCATCTCGGCTCCCTGCAACCTCCACCTCCCAGATTCAAGTGATTCTCCTGCCTCAGCCTCCCGAGTAGCTGGGACTACAGGTGCATGCTATCACGTCTAGCTAATTTTTGTATTTTTTGGAGAGACAGGGTTTCACCATGTTGGCCAGGATGGTCTCAATCTCTTGACTTCATGATCCGCCCACCTGGGCCTCCCAAAGCGCTGGGATTACAGGCGTGAGCCACCGCCCGGCCAGAACTGTAGGTAGTCTTTATTTGTGGCACGATGTAGGTACCATAGGATGCTACGGGCTGTAAAAATAACTCGGAGTAGCATCTGCGGTCAGGAGATTTGGGGCTCCCAGGACGGGAAGTTCGGAAGGAGGGTGGGCTTTGGGGTTGCAGTTCCAAGTTCTTAGGATTCTCCTGGCTTTGCACTTTCCATGCATTGGTTTTGTCCTTAGACCAGCAGCAATAGGCTACTGCAGCTCCAGGATTTTATCCACACCAACAAAATCCAGAAGAGAAGGCCACTTTTAGAAGTTCAGATATGAAACTTTTCTCAGAACCGCCAGCAAACCTCTTATCATCAGGAGCCTGCCCTTCGCTGAGGCCTGGATTAGTCACCAGTTGGAGGCATTGAAATGCACTCCACGAAGCAGGCTCGCCCCTGGGTTTTCAGATATATTGCCACAGAGTGAATGTGTATCATGCCCTTATTTTTAAATCTCTTTTTACCTGGTTATGTCTCTTTTCTCATTTACATGCTTTGTATTTATTTTGCTTTGTCTCTTTTTTCTTTAATAGGCTGGCCTGAGTTTTGTCTGCTTTGTTAGTCTTTGAAATAAATAATGTTAGCTTGTAGGAGTAGTGACTCATGTCTGTAATCCCAGCACTTTGGGAGGCTGAGGCAGGAGGATCACTTGAGCCTAGGATTAAGAGACCAGCCTGGGCAACATAGTGAGACCCTGTTTCTACTAAAAATAAAAATAAAAAGATTAGCCGGGTGTAGTGGTGCATACCTGTAGTCCCAGCTACTTGGGAGGCCGTGGTGGGAGGATAGTTTGAGCCAGGGAGGTTGAGACTGCAATGAGCTGTGATGGTGCCACTACACTCCAGCCTGGGCAACAGAGCAAGACCCTATCTCAAAAAAAATCTAAGTAAATAAATAAAATTATATATCCTTTCTATATGGCGGAAAGGGTACATGGAGTATTTGGAGTACTGAAAATACTAGGTTGGGTGTGGTTGGCTAATCTCAGCCCTTTGGGAGGTGGAGGAGGGTTGATCACCTGAGGTCAGGAGTTCAAGACCAGCCTGGCCAATATGATGAAATACCACCTCTACTAAAAATACAAAAAATTAGTCAGGTGTGGTGGTGCACACCTGTAATCCAGGCTACTTGGGAGGCTGAGACAGAAGAATCGCTTGAACCTGGGAGGCAGAGATTGCAGTGAGCTGAGATGGAGCTACTGTACTCCAGCCTGGGTGACAAGAATGACACAATGTCTCAAAAAAAGAAAATATTATAAGTAAAAAATGATGCATTTAATATGCCTAGCTTACCAAACATCATGGCTTAGCCTAACTTAACCTTACTTGTGCTCAGAACAGTTACATTAGCCTACAGTTGGGCAAAATCATCTAACACAAAGCTTGTTTTATAAAATATTGAATATCTCATATAAATTATTGAGTACTGTACTGAAAGTAAAAGAATGGTTTTATAGGTACTCACAGTATGGCTTTTACTGAGTGTGCACTGATTTTGTACCATTATAAAGTCAAAAATTAAAAGTGAACCACTGTAAGTCAGGGATGTCTGTATGTGTGTATGATCCAGCCACAGAGCATGCTCTGAATGTATTGTGGTAATGACATATACCTAAGACCTATTCTTTCTTCCCAGGTTGGTCCTGCACTTTGGTGGTGGTGGCTTCCTAGCATTTTATAATTGTCAGATGTCCTGGAGCTCTTCCCCAGCGGTCACACCCACCTGTGACATCCTGTCTGAGAAGTTCCATCGAGGACAAGCCTTGGAAGCTCTAGGCCAGGCTCAGCCTGTCTGCTATACGCTGTTGGACCAGAAATACTTCTCAGGGCTAGGTATGACTGATGGGAAAGGGGTGAGCCCACAGAGTTGCTTCAGGCAAAGTCGCTCCTGTGGGAGTCACAAGACCTGAGACCCGCCCCGCTCGTGCCAGTGCTGTTGGTCTTGAGGGGCCACTTGCTTAATCTTCATTTTACTTCCCTTGTTTTTAAACTGAGGGCATTAGATCAGGCAGTTTTTAACTTCTCTCGGCTTCAGAGTCCACACCCTAATTGTGTTATCAGTTGTGAGCCAACACGGGAGCATCCCCTCTGAAAGGGCAGGGTCATGTCCCTATCCCCTCCGCTGCTCAGCAGTGCCTGGCCCACAGGAGGTGGCTGAGCCGTGTCGGTAGGGACTGAAGTCGTACAGGCTGTAGCAGAGGAATGAGTTCGTGTTCTAAGGGATGCTGCCCTTGGGTGGATGGAGCCTCCCCCGGTCAGACACAGAGATGACTCAGTCTACATTAGGCTCTTACAGGGCACAAGGGAAGAAGCAGTTTCCCTCTCTGTGGCAGCGGCCCGAGCAGCGAAGTTTTGTGCATTTCAGGTTACGGAGAAGTGCTGAGTAATTCCAAAAAATATATTTCACGGCTAATTAGCTGGACTATGAGAGTGTGCCACTCCTTTTTTTTTTCCTTTGAGACAGTCTTGCTCTGTCACTTAGGCTAGAGCACTTTGGCTCCAGTTGAGGTTGGATCCTTCTGCCTCAGCTCCCTAGTAGCTGGGATTACAGGCATGTGCCACCATGCCCGGATAATTTTTTTTTTTTTTTTTTAGACGGGGATTCACTCATGTTACCCAGGCTGGAGTGCAATGGTGCGATCTCGGCTCACCGCAACCTCCGCCTCCTGGGTTCAGGCAATTCTCCTGTCTCAGCCTCCTGAGTAGCTGGGATTACAGGCACGCACCACCATGCCCGGCTAATTTTTTGTATTTTTTAGTAGAGACGGGGTTTCACCATGTTGACCAGGATGGTCTCGATCTCTTGACCTCGTGATCCACCCGCCTCGGCCTCCCAAAGTGCTGGGATTACAGGCTTGAGCCACCGCGCCCGGCCCGGATAATTTTTTATTTTTAGTAGAGACTGGGTTTCACCATGTTGGTTAGGCTGGTCTTGAACTCCTGGCCTCGTGATCCACCCTCTGCAGTCTCCCAAAATGCTAGGATTATGGGCATGAGCCACCGCACCCAGCCCTGAGAGTGTGCCATTCTTCTTACCCACACCAGGGGAATAATTGTGCCCAAAATAGGCTGCTGAGGCAATCAGGCGAGTTGGTGGTGACAGTCACCTCCATATCCAAGGTGTGACTTTGCCGCCAGCTCACCTCCCCTCCCCTCATGAGGGTCAGAGGAGGCCCGGTACTGCTTGCATTTTCATGTTAGAACCATGGGCGTCCCTGTGCCCTCAGGAGCAAAGAGGCATACGAAGGTGGCTTTTCGGATATATATGGCAAGAGCTAACAACAGTAATGGTAGTAATATGGCCAGTGTGTTCCAAGCAGCTCTGATGTGCCAGGCACGCGTTTTTGTCCTTACTGCCGTTCCATAGGATAGTTATAGTGGTTTTTCCTTTCTTCAGATGAGGAAACTGAAGCAAAGAACACATTGTTAGTCAGTAGCACAGCTGAGACATGAGGCCAGGTATTCTGTCAACAGATTCTGGAGAGAATGATCTGTGTACTGAGGAGTGTGACTGACACTCTTGGAGAGAGCAGGAATTTCCTTCACCTGCTCACGCAAGACACAGCGACGCTCGCTCGGCCTCTGTCACACTCACCACCTCTCCTTACGGAGGTCATTGTTGAATGGCCGAGCAAGCACAGACTCAGGTCACTGTGGGTTAGGAAAGATTGTGCCTGGTGGGGCTTAAAGAGTCCTGTTGGAACATTCCAAAGAGAGTTGCTGATTCTGAAAGGAGGGATCAGGCTGGCTTCACAGAGAATGAGGCAGGAGTAGAAAAATGACACCTCCCCAAACACTTCCTAACATAACAGATATCATGCTCAATTTTTCATTTTTGAGACAGGGTCTCTCTCTGTCGTCCAGGCTAGAGTGCAGTGACACAATCACAACCCACTGCAGCCTCAACCTCCCCGTTTCATGCGATCCTCCCACCTCAGCCTCCTGAGTAGCTGGGGCTGCAGGTGCATGACACCACACCTTGCTAATTAATTTTTTTTTTTTTTTTTTTTTGTAGAGACAAGGTCTTACTATGTTGCCTAGGCTGGTCCTGATCTTGTGCGCTCAGGTCATCCTTGTGCTTCTGCCTCCCAAAGTGCTGGGATTACAGGTGTGAGCCACTGTGCCCAGCTGTACCGGACATTTTGTTTTTAATTTAAAAAAGAATTTATTGGGCCAGGTGTGGTGGCTCACGCCTTTAGCCCAGCACTCTGGGAGGCCAAGGTGGGTGGATCACGAGGTCGAGACCATCCTGGCCAACATGGTGAAACTCTGTCTCTACTAAAAATACAAAAATTAGCTGGACATGGTGGCACACGCCTGTGGTCCCAGCTACTTGGGAGGCTGAGGCAAAAGAATCACTTGAACCTGGGAGGCGGAGGTTGCAGTGAGCTGAGATTGTGCCACTGCACTCCATCCTGGCAACAGAGCAAGACTCCATCTCAAAAAAAAAAAAAGAAAAAAAATTTTTCAGACAGTCTTGCCCTTTCACCCATGCTGGAGTGCAGTGGCACGATCTCTGATTACTGCAGCCTCTGCCTCCCAGGTTCAGGCGAGTCTCGTGGGTCAGCCACCAGAGTAGCTGGGATTAGAGGCGCATGCTACCATGCCTGGCTGATTTTGTATTTTGGGTAGAAATGGGGTTTCACCGTGTTGTCTAGTCTGGTCTTGAACTCCTGGCATCAAGTGGTTCACCCACCTCTTCCTCCCAAAGTGCTGGGATTATAGGCATGAGCCACTGCGCCCGGCCAACCTTTTTAAAATGATAATAACAGTGAATATTTATTGAGTATTCTACATCCCAGCCACCGTGCTCAGCATTTTTTGGTGAATTCTCGTTTACTGCTCACGAAAACCAGGGAAGCCATCCTTGGCTTACAGATAAGGAAACTGCAGCTAATCGAGGCTGGGGAGCTTGCCAGGTCACGTGGGTAGGAACTGCTTGAGCTGGGATTCAAGTGCAGGCAGTCAGATGCCCGAGCCCTTTTTGCCATGATGGGCCACGCATGACTTTCATTTCTTTTCCACAGCAACCTTAAAGGTTGGAATTGTCCCCATTTTACAGACAGGGAAATGGAGATGGATATTGCTGACCCGCCCAAGGTCCCGCAGGATGTGGGAGAGCTGACTTCTGCCTTGTGAGCTTTGTGGGTGGTTTTGTCACGTCGTGTGTCCTTTCTTCCTCCCTCACCCTCTCCTGCTGTCTTTCAGGGAACATCATTAAGAATGAAGTCTTGTACAGAGCTGGGATTCATCCCCTCTCTCTCGGCTCCGTCCTGAGTGCCTCACGACGGGAGGCCCTGGTGGATGGCGTGGTGGAGTTCAGTGCAGCCTGGCTGCAGGGCAAGCTTCAGGGCCACCCACAGCACACGCAGGTCTACCAGAAGGAACGGTGCCCTGCTGGCCACCAGCTGTTGAAGGAAGCGTTTGGGCCCCCAGGTGGGTTCCAGAGGCTCACGTGGTGGTGCCCGCAGTGCCAGCCCCAGTTGTCGGAGGAGCTGGAACAGCGCCAGTTCTCCTGAGGAACTCAGGGTGCTCGTCAGGGAACCTTGCCCCTTGGGGAACCTGACGTCTAAGTGTCCAGAAAGGAGGATGTGGGCAGAGACAGGGTGCAGAGGATAGTGTGGGTCAGGGGTGCCAGTATGACGATATTCTTCTCCCTGGAGTTATGTTGAAGGCAGAGTTTTCATAGGGTTCGATTTTTTTCTTCTTTTTCTAGTTCAGTTAATTCTTCCTATTGAATTGCACCATTGTGAAAGATGAGAAAAATGATGGTGGGTAAGGGGAAACTTCCCGAAGGCAGTGGGGCAAGGACAGAGCCCATGGGAAATAGCTGTGCTCCCTGCATGGCTTTGCAGAGATGTGGGGTTTTTTTTGGTTTTTGTTTTGAGATGGGCCTCGCTCTGTCTCCCTAGCTAGGGAGCAGTGGCGTGATCTCGGCTCACTGCGGCCTTGCCCTCTTAGCCTCAGGCAGTCCCCACCTCAGCCTCCAGAGTAGCTGGGACTACAGGCATGTGCCAGGGTGTCCAGCCAATTTCTGTTTACCTTTTGTAGAGATGGGGTCTTGCCATGTTGGCCAGGCTGGTCTTGAACTTGTATACTCAAGCGATCCTCCCACCATGGCTTCCCAAACTTGGGACCACAGGAGTGAGCCACCGCACTGGCCAGCTTCTGTTTTCTTTTCCAATGCTGGTTGATTTTAAGGCCCTCCATTTTGGAATGCAGGAAAACAAAATTATTATTTTATTTCTTGTTCCCCTCGAGGATCCAGGGATGAGGAAGAGAATGGCCTGAGCGCAGTGCTTGGATTCAGCTTCCTGCTGGGTCCTTCTTGCTGGACGCAGGCACCCCGAGGCGGGGCTGGAGCAGGGAGCTGTGTCCTGGGGTGCAGGGTGGTCTGTAAGGAAAGCTGCTTGTTTACTCCTTGAGTCCCTGTATTTGTGACTGTTAATATGTTGAGCTCGAATCAAGGGCTGTGGAGAAACTCCCTCAGGCTGTTGGCAACAAGTAAATGAAGCTAGGACAGCCACACAAAAATAAAGCTCTTTGTTATTTTCTGTTGTGATCTTTATTTGGCAGTAAAAGGTCTTAAAGTAAATAGCAGAACTATTCATGGAGACGGCCTCCAGGCTTACTGGGTTAGCTGAGGAGTCTACTGAAAAGGAGCAGGGAGAGGAGGCCAGCACACCTGTTCTCCTGCCCCAGGCGAGCAGAGATGGACGTGACCTCTCTCTCATGGCCTCTGCACAGAGATTTCGGGGAGTGAAACTGAAAACACTGGCTGATGTTTTTGACTTTACTTTCTCTCTCTCTCTCTCTTTTTTTTTTTTTTTTTTTGTGACAGGGTCTCGCTTTGTTGTCCAGGCTGCTGGAGTGCAGGGGTGTGACCATGGTTCACTACAGCCTCGACCTCCCAGGCCCAGGTGATCCTCCCACCTCAGCAGGTGGGACTACAGGTGTGCACCACCATGTCCAGCTGATTTTTGTATTTTCGTATAGATGGAGTCTCGCCATGTTGCCCAGGCTGGTCTCCAACTGCAGGCCTCAAGCGATCCACTTGCTTGGGCCTCCCAAAGTGATGGAATTATAGGCATGAGTCAGCATGCCCCGCCTCCCCTGTCTTAATGATTGTGAATTGTCAACAATGGGGAGGCCCATTGATGGCAGACTGAGTCTCTTGTTCTGAAGACTCTCCCTGCACCGGGTGCCCTCCCTGTGTTGAGGGCTCTCTCTCCTTGTACCCAGTCCTCGCCGCTTCACTTACTTCTTGCATATGATCTGCAGAACAACTCATGAAGATGGGTAGTCGCCCTTACTGTCCTTATGTGATAGACAAGAAAACGAAGGAGTCTAGAGAGGCTGAGGGCCTCGCTTAAGCTCATGCAGTTAACAAGGGCCAGAGCCATACCTTAGCTCCACCGCCGCAGTGTGCCGCAGGCTGGGGGACTCAGACAGCACACGGTTATTTCTCATCTTTCTGGAGCCTGGGAAATCCAAGGTCAAGGGCTGGCTGATTTGGTTCCCCAGCAAGGTGACTTTGGGGGTTAGGGCTTTACATGTGAATTTTAAGGGAACACAATTCAGTCTGTTACAGGCTACAATGGAGTTTGGGAGAAAATCTTCAACCTCTTAAAGGCCATCTCCTCCCACCCTTTAAAAAAAAACGTAAATAGTTTATAAAACCTCACTTGCCCTTCATAAAGGCCTGGATTTAAGAAAAAATAATTACAACCTCAATTTCAGAATAGACAGTGGAAACAGATTAATGGATTTATCTTTAGAAGAGTATACTCACACACTTGTGTGTATGTATGCATATATACAAAACATGAAACATCTGAGAATGTGGGCTAGGCACAGTGGCTCACACCTGCAATCCCAGCACTTTGGGAGGCAAGGCAGGTGGGTCACCTGAGGTCAGGAGTTCGAGACCAGCTTGACCAATATGGCAAAACCCTATCTCTAGTAAAAATACAAAAATCAGCCTGGTGTGGCGGTGTGTGCCTGCAGTTCCAGCTACTCAGGAGGCTGAGGCAGGAGAATCACCTCAACCTGGGATGCAGAGGTTGCAGTGAGCCGAGATTGTGCCACTGCACTCCAGCCTGGGCAACAGAGGGAGACGCCATCAAAACAAAACAAAAGAACGTGTGTGTGTGTGTGTGTGTGTGTGTGTGTGTGTGTGTGTACTTAAATGTACCTTTCTAACCCATATGGATACGACAAAACTTAGACTCCAGGCTTGAGCCGTGGCAAATGGGGCTGAGACCATTCCTGTGATTCGGCGTCTACATGACAGTGGGTCCAGGGGCTCCCCACACATGGCAGGGACTGGACGCCACGGCCAGCATGTATTTTGCTCCGACTGGGATAGGTAGAAAGGCAAATGCTGTTGTGGTGCCGAGAAGGACGTTGTTGGAGAAGCGATGGGCAGCTGCAGCTGTGGGAGTGGAAGGGGCGAGAGGCGCGGGCCGTGGCAGCAGTGGGCTCTGTTGGTGGCAGCTGGCTGACAGTGTGGGCATTGGGGCGAGGCAGAAACACGAGCTGGCTCAGTGGGCACTGAGCTGAGCACCGGCAGAGGCCACCGCCTGGCTCATAGGGAAAGGTAGAGCTGGTACTGCGTGTCAGCCCGAGGCGTGTTGCGCTCGAGCCTGCGACCACCTGTGCTGTGGAGACAGTGTCATGGGGGAGCAAGCCTGGCCCCCCACAAGGACATGCTGGGCTTAGAGGCACCTATGGGGCAGCTTTCCTGGTAGGAGACATGATCAGCTAGGGAGGCTCGCCGGGTGTAATGGAACGTGAGGAAACGTGTGGGACATCCTGGAGAAAGTCTGTTTAAGGAGCAAGAGAGGAAGGAGGAACCCTTCAGGGACATGGGTGGAATGTAAGTGGGGAAAGGAAACTCCAGGGAGAAGCAGAGTCATGAGTCATGCCGAGATGAAGGGGCAGCGATGGAGCCATGGCCCCTTGGGTTTGGCAGGTGATAAATCCCAGGTCATGATGACCTTCAGGTGAGGACTGTGTGCAGCGTGGCAGCAGTGAGAAGGGAGCGTCTGGGAGGGAGGAAGTGGAATGCGAGGGTGGTCTCCCTGCAGAAGTTTGGCCTTGGAGGGGATGAAAATGAAGGGCAGGGAGGAGAGCGAAGCACGAATATAACAAGAAGGTTTGTGTATAATTACTTCAGGGGAGAAAACCAGGAGACAGAGAAAGCTCACACCAGAGCCATCGCTTAAAGATGACTGGGCTAGGGTGGGAAGAGAAAGAACAGGTCCCGGGGAAACTTGCTGAAAGCGAGGCCTTTGGGCACAGAAGAGTGGGCAGGTTTGTAACAGCTCTTAAGGAAATTTGCTGACTTTGGGTTAGAGGGAAGGGTTGCAGAGCCACATGGTGGGCCCAGGGTGCCTGTGCATTTCCTGACTTTCCCTGACTGCATCCAGCGGCGTGGGATCAAAAACAAAGACATTGGATGTTGGATTAACCCACATTGGATGGGGGCATTTGTCAGAGTAAGAATGGTGGGAGATCAAGGGGGCAAGGAGCAACAGCATTTTTTTTTCTTTTTTTGAAATGGAGTCTCACTCTGTCACCAGGCTGGAGTTCAGTGGAGCGATTTCAGCTCACTGCAAGCAATTCTCCTGCCTTAGCCTCCTGAGGGGTTTCACTATGTTAGCAAGGATGGTCTTGATCTCCTGACCTCCTGGTCTGCCTGCCTTGGCTTCCCAAAGTGCTGTGATTACAGGCGTGAGCCACTGCACCTCGGAAAAGAATGACCTTCATCCCTGCCATAGGAAGATCTCTGGAGCGTGCTTGCTAATAGTGTCTCTGACTGCAGTGACTCACAGAAAAAACTAATAGTTGGGTAATTGCTGGTACCTACAATTCTCTACAACTCTACAACCAACTCTCTACAGTTGAGAGTAAGGGTTGTGATTGATGCCATTGGAACTCCACGGAATGTTCTGCATGGAAGAGGTGGGGAAGGGGGAATTCAGGCAGGTAGCAACCCACACTCCCATGCTCCTCTCCCAGAGCTAATCACCCTGGCAGTAGGCTCTCAGGGTTTCGGGTTGGTTCCAGAAGGAGGTAGGGCCTGGTGAGGTGGCTCACATCTATAATCCCAGCACTTTGGGAGGCTGAGGCAGGAGGATCACTTGAGCCTAGAAGTTTGACACCAGCCTGGGCAACACAGCGAGACCCCCATCTCTACAAAAAATACAAAAGTTAGCCAGGCATGGTGATGCACACCTGTAGTCCCAGCTACTAGGGAGGGTGAGGTGGGAGGACTGAGCCCACGAGGTCAAGGCTGCAGTGAGCCGAGATCATGTCACTGTGCTCTAGCATGGGGGACAGAGTGAGAATTTGTCTCAGAAATAAAAGTTAAAAATAAATACATAAAGGGAAGTAGGCATGATGTGGTGTAAGTGGACTGAAAGAGAGGAGATGGTGCGGACAGCAGGGTGCAGTGTGACCAGTGGCGGTTATGCCTTTTGTACCTGTTGCCTGGAAGGAGGAGAGGCTTTTCTCGACAGGACCGGGAAGGAGGGTACAGAAATATGGGGGGTGGGGGGGTGAATCTAGGCTTCAGTCAAAGTAAGGAGAGGCAGGATACTTCGACTGGACAGATTCTAAGGGCAAGATTGATTTAGCTCATGAGTTGGGGTTTTGTGATAACTGACACTGAGAAAACATGGGATTTAATGTAAGCCTTTACAGTGGCTCTAGACATTTCATAAATATTTCTTCAATGCCTCCTGAATGCTAGGATTTGGGAATAAAAGCATAAATAAAACACAAAGCCAAATCCTACTGTGACAGGAGGGGTGTACAAAGTGTTTCTGTTAATGGAAAAAGTGCTGTGTGGGGAAAAAGTGCTGATAAGCGGCGGGACCGTCTGTGCTCTGAGCTTTTTAGGACAGACCTGGTTGTGCTGTAAGCACTCTGCCAGGTGGCTGCATAGGCCCACTCCTTGCCCTTGTGGGGGCAACTCTGAGGTGGCGAAACAGAGGAGATTATTAGAATACAGGAAGTTCAGGAGGGGAGGAACCCCTGAACATGATAGAGTATTACGGTTTGTGAATGTCCAGACCATCCTAATGAGCACAAGCAAATGAGGCTCTTGATTCAGAGCTTGCTGTTGCAAGGGAGTCCTGCACTTGGTGAGCACTCAGGGGCAGGTAGGGGAGTGGGAAGCTTTACAGTGGAGAGGGGGACGGCTGCAGGGGGGCTCTGAGTGGAGGCTCTTGGCCTGGGGAGGCTGGAAGCAGCTGATAGAGGTAGGTGTGTTAGGTGATTGGTTTGAGGAGCGTATTTGTCTCTCTGGTTGATTCTGAGTTAGAAGAGTCCTGACCATGTGGGGCCGATTGCTGCGGAGGTTGTGGTTTTGATGCAGGACAAGCGAGCCTCAAATTCGGCCTTAGCCCATGAGGGTTCTTGGCTTTGCCCAGGAAAGAATTCAAGGGGGAGCCAGTGGTAGCGTGGAAGAAAACAGCCTTATGAAAGAGGCGGTGCGACAGCTCCGTGACTGCTCCTGTAGAGCAGGGCTACTCCATAGGCAGTGTGCTAAGAGCAGCAGCTCAGGCCAGTTCTGCAGTCTGATTGACTGATTGATTGACTTTTAGAGTCTTGCTCTGTCACCCAAACTGGAGTGCAGTGGCGTGATCTCAGCTCACTGCAACCTCCGCCTTCCAGGCCAGGTTTAAGTGATTCTCCTGACTCAGCCTCCCAAGTAGCTAGGATTATAGGCATCTGCCACCATGCCTAGCTAATTTTTGTGTTTTTAGTAGAGACCGGGCTTCACTGTGTTGGCCATGCTGGTCTTGAACTCCTGACCTCATGATCCACCTGCCTCCACCTCCCAAAGTGCTGGCCACTGCACCCGGCCTGCCGTCAGATTTATACCTACTTTTAATTGCATGCAGATTAACGGACAGTTTCTGAAGCCATTTCTAGGACAAGGATAGTAACTTCTGGGTTGCTGGATCATTGCCATGGAAAGGAGTGGTAACTCCCGGGTGTTGCCATGGCAATGGTAAACTAACTTGGCACACTGGTGGGCGTGTCATGTGGAAGGCTGCTTGGCCCCCCACCCCACCTGTTTTAGCTAGTCCTCAATTTGGTCTGCTGTCTCAGCCTGCCTCTGAAGTCGAATCTTGCCTGCCTCCTCAGTTTGATTTCCTCGGACTGCTTGCAGCATATTTGTTTTCTTGGACTCCATAGGATTGATAAATAATTCTTGGACTCCATAGGACTTGATGAATGATTTGAAGGGGCAGATGTAAGGAGGGAAAGGGAGTTAGCTATGACGTCTGGATTTTGTGATGACGAAACTGAGAGGCTGTTAATACTATCCGTAGGAGAAGCAGTTTCAATGGGAGAGAGATTTAACGTATGGACATGCTAAGTTTGCACTATTTAGGTGCCATCAAAGAGATGTCCTACACAAAGCTCAATTCAATAAATATTCATTGAGCACCCGGTATGTGCTGGGCACTATTCTAGATGCTTAAGGGTACATTAGAGAACAAAACAAAGATCTGTCATCATTGAGCCTTGATTTTTAATGTGAACTTAAAAAATACAATTTATAAATTTAGAAAAGGAGGAGAGACTACATTTCTTCTAAAGGTTACAGCATGCTTCCAGCTTAGACCAGAGACAAGCACTTCGAAGGAGAAGGGGTCGAGATAGGAGCTTTATGCTGAATGGGTTGGCTAAACATACATATTTAACAGGTTACAAGAGGAGCTATGAATATTTATGATGGTGGACCTGACATGGTGAACAACCATCCATGTAATATATGACCCATATTCACTTTGGGATAGAGACTCAACATTTGAATGCATTACAGTTAGGCCCTCTATGTCCAAAGGTCTTTTCAGGACAGGAAGGCACCCGAGTGCTCAGCCTCTGTAAACCGTTCAGACCAGTCCACAGCCGGTGGTCTTATCAGGAGAAAGTTACTGAAATCAGTCTCTTGACCAGTCAAAGCTGCAGTTATGGCTGGTGAACAGGGGCTTATTAGCAGCCTCTGGTGGAGCTGCAAGTGTTACTATAGCTTATCTTGAGGCCACTGCTGTTTGGCTGCTGGAGAAAAAGAAAACCCGTGTGGGAGTCAGAGCTTAGTTGATTCCTTAAGTGTAGGGATGCCTGACTTGACCACTGCCTGCACGGCCTTAGGTCCTGTTTATAACTGGGTATCTTATTACCACAGAGTCTGTTCTGTTAGTCTCATGATCTCTTTGAATATTAATGCTGGTCAGTTGTGTATGAACTCCGACAGCAGGGGTACAGTGAGGCCTGTCTGATCTGTCCCATCACGGCTGGAAACAGTTTTTAAGTTTTTTCTGGGGTTCCCTTGGCCAAGGTGGGCAGTGGGAGGGGCTGAGGATTTTTAGTTTCCACTAGCAAGGGGATACATAAGTTAATGATCTATTAGAATTTTATAACTATAGAGCAGGATATGGGGATCAGCAGCGGTGGAAATGGGGGGGAGGGCAAACAGGTGGGGCTCGAGGAGTTAGCCCAGCAGGTCTATGGGGGATAGTGCGGAAGAGTGAACAGCTAGACAGAAAGCCCTGGGGCCACGAAAATGTACGAGCTGGGGGCCCGAGAGGTAAACTGGGTGGAAGGCGGGTCCTGCAGCCCCTGGGGACCCCCGTAGGCGCTTTGGCTTTCTCTGGAGTGGAGAGACTCTGAACGGCTCTGTGCAGTGAGCAGACCTGACAGGTTTTAAAAGGCTCACGGGTTGCTGTGTTATAACAGACCGCAGGAGGGCTTAGGCAGCCAGTAGTTTCTAGGGCTGGAGAGAGAGATCTAGGATGAGAGTTTCCCCCTTCCTGTTACAGGCCCTCTAAGGCTTCAGCTCCTTTTCTAGGACTAGGAGGGATCTCAGGCAAACACTTTAGAGAGGAGGCAGCTGAAGCTCCAGGAGTGTGCAGGGCTGCCTGGGGCTGGATGGGGGTGCGGGCAGGCGACCAGGGCCGGCCGTGCTCGCGCGGCTCCCACGCTTTGGCTCTGGTGAGTTACAGTCAGAACGCCCAGCTTCGCGCTGGGCCCGCCTTTTCACCGCCTTAGGCTCCACGGGGAGGGGCTACAGAGATCACCTGGCGGGTAGGAGGCAACGAGGCCGGACACGTGGGCGGCTTACTGACCCAGCCTGGCGCACGCCCGCCTGCGCTGCTCACCCGACGCCGGGCCACCGTTGGGCTTCAGCGCACCGGAACCTCACTGCCCCACGGCCCAACCGCCTCAGGCCGGCTCCCCACAGCCCTCGCGCTGTCAGCCTCGGGCAAGCGGAGGAAAACAAAGGCCCAGTTCCACCAGGGAACCAATCCGATTCGTCGGCCTCTTTCTCGTCCTCCAATGAGATTCTAGAGTGCTGTCACGCCAGGCTTCTCTTGCCACTGATTGGTCGGCGTCGTCCTAGTGCGAGCGGCCCTGACCAATCAGCGCCCGTCAGTCCACCCCGCGAGCCCTCAGCCGCGCGAGCGCCCTAGGCCCGTGGAGGTGGGCGGGGAGGTGGGCGGGGTGTCCTCGCGGTGGGCCCGCCCCCTTTCCGGACCGCCCCGCGCCGCACCTCCTACCCAGGTCTGGCCGGAAGGTGGGAGTCTGAAGAGCGCAGAGTTGAGCACCGAGCCTGAGAGCCCGCCGCCTGCGCCAGGATGGAGTTCGTCAAGTGCCTAGGCCACCCCGAGGAGTTCTACAACCTGGTGCGCTTCCGCATCGGGGGCAAGCGGAAGGTGATGCCCAAGATGGACCAGGTGGGCCGACCATCTCTGCATTCCTGGACGGGGAGGCCGCGCGCGGGGCCGGCGTCGGGGCCCGGATCAGGGGCTGGGGGCGCGGCGAGCGGTGCCAACACCTGGGCGTTCCCGTCCCCCTTCCCTTGGGAGGCAGAGCCTTCCACACTTCGGGCCCGGGTGAACACGGCCCTCCCGGGGGTCCTGTCCCTGCCCGGACAAGTCGTCCTGGGCCTGAGCGGCTTCTGCGCGGCTCCCAGCGATTGTGCTCCCGGTTTCGTCCCCTCCGTGAGCATCGGCACTTCCCCGTGTCCTAACCCGAGGGTTACACGTCTGGGACTATGTGGGTGGGTGGTTACGTGGGAGAGGACGAGTGAGTTTTTTTATGAGCAGAGTAAACTATGCAAATATCATCACATGAACACAGTTTCTGGAATGAAATCTTAATCAGTTTTCGGCTTCGCCACCTCCTCCAGAACTCTCCCCACCTTGCCGCCGTCCATCGTTCGTCCTCAGGGCTTCCTGGGTTTTAAAATCACCTATCTACGTTTCCCAGTTCTAATCAGTTATCTGAACGTCTGTGGATTAGCTAGGTGCTTAGTGGAAGGTCAGAAATTGGTTTTACTTAAGATTTTATCTGCCTCATCCTGTACGGCTTTGTAAATGAATGCATAGGAGGTGTTTTTAGTCCAACAAGAAAATTATTCGTACGTGCTTGTTGAATGAATAGACACATTCAGCCAAGTTCTAATGGTCTGGATCAGCCTGGCTGATTTCTGTGACTTTTTTGGGCCAACAGGACAGTAGCGGTTGTGACTCAGGCAGAGGCTTGATAGGTGCGTGAACATCAGAGTCTTTCAGTGTCCATGTGCTTCAGTAAACACACAAGAAAATACATTTCCCGTTTTAGCCAATTTATTGGGTCCTATGTGTCGAAAGGTCTTTTTACCGGACAGGAAGGCGCCTGAGTGTGCAGTCTCTGTAAACTCGGTTTTATCCAATTATACAATGAATGTGTAGACTACACCCTCATCTGGTGTTATCTTTCACGTGCTATCTTTAATTCAAGTACAGTCTTCAGCCCATTTGTAGAATATTCAGTTTTCTCATTTTTTTCTTTGCCAGTGCTACATTATTTTAATTATTTTGCAGCAGAATAACTTTTATTAGTTGACAAGGAATATGTCACTTTTTATACATAGATGGAGCTTTCATTTATTTAACAACTATTTGACCACCAGTTGTGTATCAGATACCGTTTTAGGTGCTGGAGATACAACAGTGAACAAGATAGTTGAAGACCTTGCTTTTGTGAAACTTACTTTTTAGTGGAAGAGAGAGACAATTGCAAAAAGCAAATATACAGTATTTCAGGTGGAGAACAGCACCGCAGAGGTAAATAAGAGCAGGGCAAAGGGTCTGAGTGCTGTCAGAGCTCATTTGGATCCAGAGACTTTGTTCCTCTATGTCTCTTTCTGCAAAAAGAGACTTTAAGAAGATGGTAGCATCGGTTATGTGTTGGGAGGGTGAGTGGGTGGTCATAATAAAGGGGTAGAGAAAGACTTCACAGTATACTGTTTTTGTACCTTTTGAATTTTTTTAAAAGCGAGATGAGCTATTCCTTCTATCTCTGATAATACATTACAATATTACTTGTTTTGTTAGTTGTAGTCTTTCTGAGCACTTTTTAAATCCCCATGAGCCGTTAAAAAAAGAACTGGGTGGGCCGGGTGAGGTGGCTCACTCCTGTAATCCCAGCACTTTGGGAGGTGGAGGAGGGTGGATCACCTGAGGTCAGGAGTTTGAGACCAGCCTGGCCAATATTGTGAAACCCATCTCTAACAAAAATATAAAAACTAGCTGGGTGTGGTGGCACACACCTGTAGTCCCAGCTACTTGAGAGTCTAAGGCAGAATAATCGCATCCGGGAGGCAGAGGTTGCAGTGAGCTGAGATTGTGCCTCTGCTCTTCAGCCTGGGCGACAGAGTGAGACTCCGTCTCAAAAAACAAACAAACAAAACGAGCGAGCCTCTAATTAGGTGAAACAAATTGGAAAATACATTTCCCTTCACTTAACATTATCTTAGTTTCTCTCTTTTTTTTTTTTTGGTTTCGGGGGACAGGGTCTCACTTTGTCTTCCAGGCTAGAATGCTGTGGCCTGAACATGACTCACTGCAGTCTCAACTTCCCTGGCTCAAGCCAGCCTCCCACCTCAGCCTCCTGAGTAGCTGGGACTACAGGCACATGCCACCAGTGCCTGGCTAATGTTAAATTTTTTTGTAGAGACAAGGTCTTGCTATCTTGCCGAGGTTGGTCTTGAACTCCTGAGCTCAAGTGATTTTCCCACCTTGGCCTCAAAGTGCTGGGATTTACAGGTGTGAGCCGCTACATCCAACCAGTTTCTCTCTACAAACTAGGCAAAAAATGTACACTTAGCAGATACTGAGGGCTGCTTATTTCTATCACAGAAGGATTTGACTATAGAATTTCAGGGTTTAGTAAATTTGATTTATACTGAATTTTTAGAAGCATGTCAGTAAATTTAGGGGCATATGCCGCCTGCAAGTTGTGTGACATCACCCATAGCCAAGTAATGGAAAAAGCAGGCTGTTTGTTTTTTGAGTTGGAGTCTAGTCTTGGTCTATCGCCAGGCTGGAGAGCAGTGGTATGATCTTGGCTCACTGCAACCTCTGCCTCCTGGGTTTAAGTGTTTCTCGGGCCTCAGCCTCCTGAGTAGCTGGGATTATAGGCACGCACCACCACACCCAGCTTATTTCTGTATTTTTAGTAGAAATGGGGTTTCACCATGTTGGCCAGAATGGTCTCGATCTTCTGACTTCATGATCCACCCACCTTTTCCTCCCAGAATACTAGGATTACAGGCATGAGCCACCGTACCTGGCCAAAAGCCAGTGGTTTGTAATCAGGCGGATCTGGCTTCTATCAAATTTAAATCTTGTTATTTAGACTAATATCTTCTCTTAAGTCTGTTATTAAGTGTAATTCCTGATTCTATTAAGTTAGGTGAACAACCTTGGTAACCTCTGAGCCACAGTTACTTGATCTGTAAAGTAGGGATGTACAGTCACAATTTTTTTCCTGGGGTTGGGGGACAGAGTCTCACCCTGTTGCCAAGCTGGAGTGCAGTGGCTTGATCTCAGCTTACTGCAACCTCCACCTCCCAGGTTCAAGCAATTCTCCTGCCTCAGCTTCCTGAGTAGCTGGGACTACAGGCATGCGCCACCACACCCAGCTAATTTCACCATGTTGGCCAGGAAGGTCTCGATCTCTTGACCTTGTGATCCGCCCACTTCAGCCTCCAAAAGTGCTGGTATTACAGGTGTGGGCCACTGTGCCTGGCCCACAGTCACAATTTTTTAACCACAACTTCTCAACTCTAAGATGGTCTGAAAACTTGTTGTCAGTTTGTCTCGAAATCATTTGGCAGCAAACCCTGACTTGAAGTTGAGGCTTCATTTATCCCACTTAGTATAAATAAGTGTTTTGCTAAAGAAATAATTATGAAATACTACTTCACACTGACTGGGGTTGTATATGCATTTTATTTCCTATTTTCTAAAACACTAAAAATGCTCGATTCTGTCCCAGGTCTTGCCATAAAGCTTTCAGTGAACTGTGGACCTGTTAGACCTTAACAAGTTGAATAAGGATCAAAGATAATGTCCGTATTGTGCTTGGCATGAAGTTAGGTGCCTGATAAATGCTGTTTATCAATATCATTATGCAAATTCAGTTGTCAAGTTTGTGGTTTATTTCCCCCTTCCTGGAGATACCTGTTCTATTTTAAAGGGAGGAATGCTGCAGAGAGAGAGGGCTGGCAGCTGGTAGCTGTTCACTTGTGGAACTTTCCAGCCTGAGGCTGGAGACCCTTCCTGGGGAGTCTGGTCTTGTCCTGACCACCCCACGCCCTTCCTCTAAACTCCCTGCATCCCTGTTTTCTCCCACTGGACTCTTGGGAGTGCACTGAATCTCAGACTGCAATAGAAGCGTCAGGAGGCTGGAGGGACAGGCAGCAGTAGCCTGAGCTTTTTTCTCCCCTAGCTCATGGGAATTAAGCAGTGGAAATTTTTAGTGAGTGGCGTTTTACATTGTGTGCTTACTAGCTGTGTCTTCCTGGCTTGTTCTTGGTAATTTGAAGAAACTGTTATTACAAGGTGAGGCATTAAAACAAATAGGTGACAGGAAAAAGTGGCAGTGGCAGGAGCTGGAGGAGAAGTGGCTGAGCTTGCCCCCTTTCAGCGTGGAGCGTTGATGGAAAGGAGCGGTGGTGTTCCTGAAGAGTGTTGGTCTTCAAATCTAGGGGGATTGTGCCTTGGCATACATTGAAACTCCTGGTCTGATGTCAGTCCCCAAGCCGTTAGTTGGATGAACATGACATTTGGCAGTGCAGTTTAAAGAGCTGCTTGCTGCAGCCTGGTAATGATAAGGCTATGTGAAGAGACCAGAGCTGGTATTCTGTTTCTTTCACTCTGAAATCTTGCCTCCCTGTATTTTGAGAGGGAAGGAGTTGGTGAATTGTTTTAAAATACTGGATGAATGACTGCATTTATTCATCACACCTTTACTGAACATGTTTATGTGCCAGAGACTGGACTTTACTAAATTATGGTGCCCAGTAAGTATGTATGTGTGTGTGTGCGTGTTGTTGTTGTTGTTTGAGATGGAGTTTCGCTCTTGCAGCCCAGGCTGGAGTGCAATGGTGTGATCTCGGCTTACTGCAACCTTTGCCTCCCAGGTTCAAGTGATTCTCCTGCCTCAGCCTCCTGAGTAGCTGGGACTACAGGCTTGCACCACCAGGCCTGGCTAATTTTGTATTTTTAGTAGAGACAGGGTTTCGCCATATTGATCAGGCTGGTCTCAAACTCCCAACCTCAGGTGATCCATCTCTGGTGATCGTTGGCCTCTCAAAGTGCTAGGATTACAGCTTTGAGCCACTGTGCCCAGCTAAAATTTGTTTTTACTAATAATTTTTTATTGGAAATAGCAATAAAATGACTTTTTCAGGATTATGTGATTTAAAAAGATTTTGACAAAATAATATGTATTCATGATAGAAAATGTACACAAATAAAAACAATATAGTTCACTGAAACTCCCGCAAGAGTCCAGGTCTCACTGTTACCATTCTGAAGTGACTATGGAATTTCCTAGCAGTGAATATACCATATTTTTTTAACCACTCCTGTTAGATATTTGTGATTTTTAATTTTTTTGAGACGGGTCTCACTCTGCAGTATACAATATCATAGTTCACTGAAACCTGTATTTCCTGGGCTCAAGTGATTCTCCCACCCCAGCCTCCTGAGTAGCTAGGACTACAAGTGGGCGCCACCACACGTGACTTTAAAAAAAATTTTTTTTTTTAACTTTTTTATGAAGATGAGGTCTCACTGTGTTGTCCAGGCTGCCTTCAAACTCCTGGGCTCAAGCGATCCTCGCACCTTGGCCTCCCAAAGTGCTGGGATTACAGGTCTGAGTCACTGCACCTGGCCCTGTTAGCTATTTCAAATGATTCCCATTTCTGTCCCAAAAAAACCTGTTGTGAGACGGTGGGGTGAGGAGAGGGAAGGGGCATATGGAAACCTGTGGCACTTTCCACTCAGTTTCCCTGTTGGCCTAAAACTGCTGCAAAAAATAGTCTCTGAAAAAATACACGAAACAGCAACTCTTTGTGGATAGGCTTGCATTGAAAATAAGGCGTTTTTTCCCTTTCGGAAAAGCACAGTTCTTGTTTTCTTTGGGGAAGCATAAAGGTCATGAAACAGCGCACTATATTCCATTAATTTTGAAAGGAAAGATGAGAAGAAATCTTGAATGGCTGGCTTTCTAGAGAAGAGTAGAGGCTTAACAGGTGTCAGAGAAAAAAATCAGTTGGACAGTGGCAGTAAAACAGCAAAACCACAGATTTTATTCAGAAAAACTGCAGTAGGAGAGAGACCACAGTACAGATCAGGGCTCCACTCCGAATACAAGGAAAAGTAGAAATTGATGAGGGGGGCGCAGAGCCGGGAGAGAGAGGGGATGTCAGTGGATAGAAAATGATTAAGAGGAAACACCAGGTGAGGGTTCTTGATGACGGCAGGCCAGAGTTAGCAGACATCACCTGGGAGATGCAGGGGGTGGGGGGCGGGCTGTGGAAGCTGATCAGGTGTCCAAGATGATCAGATATTGAAGTTGCCGGATTCTGGCCAAATCAATTTAGCAGGATTCTTGGTAAAATTGGGCGATGCAAAGACAGACACGCTGAGTACAAGTCCAGGCCTTATTGGGAAAATAATTCGGCTAAGCCTGGGTAGTTTGGTCTAGGGAGACTGTCACCGGGAGGACAGGCGGGCCGCTTGGAAGTGCGCTGTGCCCCTTAGCGGCCAGTGGGTTCAGATGTGAAGGGCCAGACCGGGAGGCCGGCACCACGCCGAAGGGGTGTGGAGCAAGCGCGAGCGGGAGGCCGGGGGCGGGGCTGCGGGCCAGGCCTCGGCCTCCACGTGCGGGGCGGGCCAGTTCTGGGTAGAGGGCGAGCCTGTCCCGCCCCTCGGTGGGCGCTTCGCAGATCTGCTCGAGTCTATGGAGGAAAGACTCCGCTGGGTCCGCGATTCCCATGGCCGCAGCCGCCTGCGGCACGAAAGCCATGGCCCTCTTCAAGCGCACCCTGGTGCTGAGTCCCGCCGCGGCACCCAGAGGCCCGGGCGCAGGCACCGCCCCGCGGGGCTGCTCTTTGCCTCCTGCCGCCTGGCCCTGCAAGGACTGGCCGCGGGGAGAGGGCTGCAGGCTGTGGAGCCGCCTGCCCCAGTCCCACTCCCACTCCTGCTCCTCAACGTCTCCCAGCGCCGTGTGTCTTGTCTGCCCGCAGGACTCGCTCAGCAGTAGCCTGAAAACTTGCTACAAATATCTCAATCAGACGAGTCGCAGTTTCGCAGCTGTTATCCAGGCGCTGGATGGGGAAATGCGGTGAGTGGGGGAGCAGCGACTCCGGCGTGGGGGAGGAAAGCTTGTCCAGGGACCTCTGAGTGATTAGAAGCTACTGGTTGATACGGCGCACAGTGTTGCAGCCTCGTGGCTGTGGCTTATTCAGCCCATAGCCCTGCCCTAGTGAAGGAAGTGTTCGGGCTTGTGAAGCCTGTGTTTACTTTAGAATGCCCTTCCAGGCTCTTTGCCATCCAGTGGTGTCCCTGCGGGCCCAGCCTTTCAGAGAAGCAGGTTGGGGGGATGGTGATGTTTATTAACTTTTTTTAGTCCTGGCAGCTGAACCTGGCTGTGAGCAGGTCGTATTTTCTCGGCTTCCCTTATCCTACTTTGCATTTCTATTTCTAGCATATTGGGTTGATTCTTTTGAACCTGCCTCTGTGCAGATTACACCCGTGAACTTAAACCAGTTGCCTTTATGTATGGTCCTATTTATACTGAGAAGTTAGTCTTTTTTTGGCTTCCTTTTCTATTTGTCAAATACTAGTTCGGTGTAAACGTTTGGTCTTTTGGCCTCCATAGTTTGTTAGTTAAGTGCAACTCATTTCTGGGAGTAGTAGTGACACTCAACTGGTCGGCTTTTTATTTTTTAATAAACTGCAGAAGTTCATTACTCTCATGTAAGAAAGGAAAACTAATGTAAGTTTCATTAAGTATGAAAAGCTTTGGATACCCTTATAGTTCTTTCAAGTTGAGGGTGCAGGTGGGTTTAGAAAACAGCCTGGCACAAGTTATTTTAAGATAAAATATCTTTGGATGTTTCTTTCTTTCTTTTTTTTTTTTTTTTGAGATGGAGTTTCGCTCTTGTTACCCAGGCTGGAGTGCAATGGCGCGATCTCGGCTCACCGCAACCTCCGTCTCCCGGGTTCAGGCAATTCTCCTGCCTCAGCCTCCTGAGTAGCTGGGATTACAGGCACACGCCACCATGCCCAGCTAATTTTTGTATTTTTAGTAGAGACGGGGTTTCACCATGTTGACCAGGATGGTCTCGATCTCTTGACCTTGTGATCCACCCGCCTTTGCCTCCCAAAGTGCTGGGATTACAGGCTTGAGCCACTGCGCCCGGCCTTGGATGTTTCTTTCAATATAGTAATAGTTTTTCATTTTTTACAGCAATGCTGTGTGCATATTTTATCTGGTCCTCCGAGCTCTGGACACGCTGGAAGATGACATGACCCTCAGTGTGGAAAAGAAGGTCCCGCTGTTACACAACTTCCACTCCTTCCTTTACCAGCCAGACTGGCGGTTCACGGAGAGCAAGGAGAAGGACCGCCAGGTGCTGGAGGACTTCCCAACGGTGAGTGGGGCTACACAGCCTGTCTACGGATGGTCGTGTTCATAATTGCTAATGTGATTGTCTGCTAGCCTACACACTTACGGAGAAAGGTAAAGTGAGCAGTGTGAGGCCAGCATAATGTGATGGTTAAGAACTCTGGTAGTCAAGACTCTGAAGCCAGGCTGCCTGGGTTGGAATCCCAAATCTTCCACTTACTAAACCGTTGGCTATTTACAAAGTTTCTCTGTGCTTCAGTTTCTTCATATATAAAATAGGGGTAACAACACCTACCTCGTGGTAGTGTGAGGATCCAGAGAATTAACATAGGTAACACTCTTAGAGAATGTTAGCTACTGCTGTTATTACCAGTATCGGGAGTCCAGTGTTTCTTCCTGTGGGAAGACGCACTCAAATTGCAGTGTTGTAAAAGATTCTCAGGCTAGCCCACAAAAGCCTGCTGACTGTCGAATGCAGCCTCCCTGTGTAACACTGCTTGTCTTGACTACCCTGAGCCTGGTAGCATGGGACTGCTGTTCAAGATGGGTAGCACCCTGGCATAGGGGGTGGTGTGTGTTGGCAGCTAGGGTGAGGATTGAGAAGCAGGGTGAGCCTTTGCCACTGAGCTGTGATCCTGGGCAAGTTCCTTATCTGCTTTGTGTCTCCGATTCCTCATTTGTATAGCTAGAGCTGAGAGGACTAAGTAACTTCGTACATAAAAAGTACTTGGTGCCTGCTACGTTGTAAATATTCTGTAAATACTAGCTATTTGGTCTGTTTTGTTGGAGTGAAGTGGGTTATAGTTAAAATCCTAAGCTTTAATAAGTCCCTCAAGTTTATGTGGACATCTGACTGGGTCCCACTGTCCTAGAATTCGCATGTCTTATCAAACAACTGATTCTTCCATATTTGATTTAGCAAAGTCACATGTTCTGTAAAAGCCCGAAGAAGCCCTTTTTGTACACAGTTGCCAGAGCTTTTGGAATAACAGCCCTTATGTGGCTGTTGTCACTGAAACAAACCTAATCTATATCTGAGTTGGAAGGAAGTTAAGTGGACAGATGGAGAGTCCTCTACCAAACAAAAGAATGTTTGATTCTACATAATGGGAGGAATATTTAAAGAAAAAAAAAATGTTTGGGGAAGACTCTTTTGGTGCAGTGGCTATTTCAGATTGCTGAGATCAGACCTTCAGTGCCAAAGTCCAAAATACAGTTCAGCATGATACAAATGAAAAGGAAATATCTGAAAAATAGAGTTTATCCAGTACAATTGAAAAGAAGAAAGAAAATGTATGACGGGTAGCTGGATGAGAATTAGAGTTGTAACTCTGGGAAGGTCCTGGTGATTTGGCTCTCACAGGACACCTGATGACCAGAGGATGGGTTTTCTTAGAAGGGAAATCTGTGGCCATTCGTTTATGGGCCTCTGACTTCTGCTGAACCAGAGGAAGCAGTCATACTCCATTTATAATGGAAGCGTGTTCTCACTTAAAAACAACCAGTATTATTCTAGCTGGACCTAGCCTCCAAAAACAACCAAATTACTTTTCACTTCAGTAGATTAATAATATTTAAAAAATTTCTGGAGGCATGGGATAAATGTCTTAGGCATTCCAAAAATCAATGCAGCCCTATCCACTGAGCAAAAATAAGAGAACGTGAAAGTGTGTGTATGCTGACATAATTTTGGGGAATATCGAATTTCCAGACGGTATTCCAACATGTTTGTAAAACTTTAGTCTTCCTTTGTTCATACAGTGTTCCAGCGGAAAAATAATGCCTAGTTCTGGAAGGTTTCAGATGTGAACACTGAGCTCATCGTTTTCCCTTTTGGGTAGCAGAGTTAGAAAGCAGAGCTTCGATCCTCTTGACAGCAGATTTGTCCCGGAAGAGTAAAAGGGAGCAGAAAGCACGAGCCACTCACCGCTATTTTCGCTGTTGTTAACTTTTTGTACTCTTAAGAATATAAAGATGGACAAAGTTGTGTGTTCTGTGCACATACATAATTCTAAGCTACTTGAATTGTAGGTCCCTCCGGTCTGTGATTCAACTTGGGATGGGACTGTATGAGTATTAATAGTGCCTTGTCTTCTTAAGGAATGTTTGTGTATGTGCTGATCTAGCCCAGGGTCTCCTTGAAACCAGTTGTGTGGGGCTGGGCCCGCAGTCAGCTTTTGGCTAAGAGGTCCCAGGATAGAACAAGTATAAAGGAGGATCGATAGCTTGCCTCACTCACACAGTACTGCTCTTAGATTCAGGCAAGTGGGACTCCTCACTTTAGAGGGCCCTATTCTAGACCCCTCACTCCCAAAGCGGTTGCTGGGGCCATGGGAATGTACTTGCCCAGACCTCGTGGGCTCTCTTCTACACCACGTTCTGGACCTCTGAAATTCCTTGCCCCAATCCCTGAGCCATGTCAGCGTCTGCACATTTTATTTCCTAAGGCCCGTCCATCTCCTCCAGGAGAGAACATGGCACCATTGACCATGCCCTTGAGTCTGAGTGGTGGCCGAGGGCTCTGTTGGGGAAACTTGTGGATGGAGCTTGGCCTTGAGGGCTGGTATATCCTCGCAAATTAATGTGAGGTGCCTCCCTGTGCTGTAGAGAGCAGCCTGGAATATGGAGATCTGCACTCTGTGCCCTGCTGCATTTTGGAACAAAACTCCAAGGAACTGAGAATTTTAAATTCAAAGCTGAACCAACCAGGTTGTTAGGAAGATACGTTTGTCAAGGCAGAAGGATAGACTATATTTAACAAGTTAGGAGCACGATTGATCATTTTTAAATTTTTAGCTACATATAGTGTGGGCCTCCATTTGTCGTTTTGTCACAGGTCTCACAGAATTTAGGAATAAGCCTTGATAGAGTGAGTATTCTAACCAAGTGACCTCCGCCGCGATGTATAGTTTGTGCTTTGAGATTGAACCACATGCTTTAGTGATTGTTGATCGTTAATTGATACCAGTTCAAGTCAGGCTTCCTAGAACTGTGATTGAATATTAAGGGCTTGATTAGAGCAGTCATGGATCACTTAATGAATGGCAGAGGATACGTTCTGAGAAATGCATTGATGGATGATTTCATCATTATGTGAATGTAAAAGGGTGCACTGACATGCCTAGATGACATAGCGACTACACATGGAGGCTCTATGGGATAGCCTGTTGCTCCAGGGCTGCACACCTCTACAGCATGGTTCTGTGCGGAATACTGTGGGCAACTGTAGCACAGTGGTATTTGTGTATTCAAACATAGAAAAGATGTAGTAAAAATAGTGTTACAGTCTTAAGGGACCACCATCGTATTTGCAATTGTCGTTGACTGAAACATCATTATATGGTACATGACTATGTATCTTTCTCACCTGGTACTAGTGGAAAGCTAGAAAGGTTAAGAGCTCTACCTGTAAACATAGCTTAAGGAATGATACAGCGTTAGTTTTAAATGGTAATAGCATTTACTTATTAAGCAATTTACTGTGAGTTAGCTAATATATATTCTCATTATTTTACTTTTTGTGTTATTTTATCTATAATATAGTTTAACAGGAAAATTACCTAGTATGTAATGTACTGTTATCTATACTTAATGTAGATGAGGAAACTGAGGCACAGAGAAATTAAGTACTTTTCCTAGGATTACCTGTGAAGTTAAGTGGCAGAATTAGCGAATCTGGAAGGTCTGGCCCCAGATCCCTTGTGCTTAGTCACCAGCATACTTTCCACCTTTTTAAAAAAATGGTTAAAAACACGAAGCCAACAACCTAACCAAAAGCAGCTTAAACATAGGGGAAGGTAGACCCACCAGTGTTTTGATCACGGTAGTCCCAAGGTAGACCCACCGGTGTTTTAATCAGAGGAATTGTTATTCCCTGCTACTCTTACCTCTATGTGGGATTTGGCCTTTCTGCGTTATCCCTGTGGACTCTGTCTGGTACATTGCTTCTTGTACTTGGAATCACCAGAAAGTGACCTGAGAACATAGAAATCAGCTGTGTTGTGGGACAGAATTACCTGGAAGCGGGGGAAAAAGTCCTCCTGGCTCAATTCACATGTCAGGGCTTATTGTTGTGCCCGAGGAATATACAAAACTGGGTAATGAGTGTGGAGTCAGCAAAGCTCTGTCCTTCCTCTGGATTTCTGGGAAAAACGTACAGCTCTTCACTGTCACTTTCTCCTGTATATTTGCATTTTTACTTTTGGAACTGTACGATTATGTAATAAATACCAAAGAGTTGTTGGAAGGATAGGTCAAGTTCAGAAGTGAAAGTGTTTTGGAGGAGTCTAAGCTCCTCCCCACCCTCATTGGCCCTTTCCTCTCTAATAAGTAGAACTGGTCTAGCCGAGGATCTGTGGAAGGGCAAAGTCCTATGGAGATTCAGGGATTCTAATAGCCTCTTGTAGAGTTGCTAGTTCGTTTCAGCCTGCAAGAAGGAATTACCTTTTGGCATTGGCTTGAACAGCTGTTCTGCAAAGAACAACCTTTTAGAAAGAGTTCTGGAAGGACCATATTGATTTTATGTTTTGTGTGTGTGGAGGGGGAAAGAGGAGAGGGGGTTGACATTTGTTGTTAATCAGAAATCCTAAATTATGTGAATTCCTGGTGCTTTGCAATCAGCCGGTCACCTGGTTTTCCTCTGGACCCTTAATTTTAGGTGTTTTCCGAGGAAGTTTTTCTAACTTTTCTGTAAACACAGGCTGAGTATATTGCACACTTTCGATGTTTAACCATATCTCTTCGCTGTATGCAGTATTATGTGTAGGCTCTCATGTTTTGTAGCACTTAAGACTCCCCATGGTGTTTTTATATCGCATTTTGCTAACTATAAACAATTCTTTGAACTTAAACAAGATATTTGGGCAGTAACAATAAATTTTAAAAACATCAATTCAACTTTTCTATATTAGGGCTTGGACTATGGAAAAAGTGTTGGGTAGCATGCCTCATATTGAGTTGTTTAAGGAATTTAAAAGCATAGCTTTATAGTGAGAAAGACTCTATAGCTTCATAATATAAATTGAGTAACTAATGAGAGAAAATGGTTGGCAGGTCTGCTTACTAGACTCTAAGCTCTTCAAGGGTCTGAGTTTCAGTTTGTTTCCCTGATGTATATCTGCAGTGCCTAGAATGATGCTTGATAGGAAGTGCTTGATCCGTGTTTGCACAAGTGAATCTTTCTCATAATGAGGTTTGTCTGAACAAGCTGTTCTCCCTAAAATTCTTACGCTTATACCCAGCGTTATGTTGAAGCATCTTGTTATTCATTGGATAGACGAACATGTAGTGAGACTTTGAGTCTTCTTTTGAGTCTAGAAACATTAGCATTTTTAGACCCTTCTATTTTAATGTTTATAGAATTTATGGAATAATAAATACATATGACCTTAATTAGGCTTATAGATAAACCATTTTGGAGTCACAATTCTACCATTGTTTTGCCTTGTGATCTTTGGTGCCATGCTATACATAGTTCATGATTTCTGGTTTTGTACGGTCTCTATTTCAGATCTCCCTCGAGTTTAGAAATCTGGCTGAGAAATACCAAACGGTGATTGCTGACATTTGCCGGAGAATGGGAATTGGGATGGCAGAGTTTTTGAACAAGCACGTGACCTCTGAACAGGAGTGGGACAAGGTTAGTCTCGTAAGACAATGTCTGTGTGTGATGTATTAGACAAAGCTGGCAGTCCTCATAGTGAAGTTCAGAACAAGGAAAAGTTGTCCACTAGTTCCAGGCCCTCTGGTTTTATCATTCATCTGTTTAGGTTGAATGTCCCATCATAAACATTTTATTCCAAACCAGCAGCTGTGTAGGGTATCAGCCAGGCTAGGACTAGAGGACTGGAGAGAAGTGCTTATCTAGACAAAAGGATGTAATTGACTATGGAGACTAAACTACACATCAAAATATAATGTAGGATTAGGAGTCTTGCCTATTTTTCATAGGAATGGTGTTTGCGAGACTTACTCATCACTTCTTTGGAAGCAAAGACATTTATTTTAAAGCCAGTCAGATTTAGCAAGCAGAGACATTTCAAACATCTAAAGCGTTGATGTATTTCATACCTTTAACAGTGTTTAAATTAGGATCACAAAAGAGATCTGCTGCATTGTCACTAAGTTAATGTAGGTCCTAGGCCTTGGGCCTCTTAATTTTTCACACCTCAAAACTTAACAGCAGTATCTTTGGAACTGCTGGTTTGTGCTTCGCAAGTTAACAGCACATAATGAGTGCTAGAATAGCAACTTCTGCATTTAAGGTGAAATTAGCCGGGCACGTGGTTTACCTGTAATCTCAGTATTTTGGGAGGATCATTTGAGCCCAGGAGTTCCACACAAGCGTGAGCAACATAGTGAGACCCCATCTCTCAAAAAATCAAAAAATTAGCAGGGCATGGTGGCACGTGCCTGTGGTCCCAGCTACTCTGGAAGCTGAGGTGTGGGAGGACTGATTGAGCCCTAGAGTTCAAGGCCGCAGTGAGCCTTGATTGCACCACTGCGCTCCAACCTAGTGACAGAGCAAGGCCCCATCTGAAGGAAAACAAAGTGGAGGAAACTGCAGGCCTGGTTATGATAGTGACTTCATTTTCTGTTGGCAGATTTATTCGGGAAACTTATTGTAGGTTGTTGAAGTTCTGATCAGATAAAATTGAATTTTGGAAAATTTTTTTGAGACAGGGTCTTGCTGTGTCATCCAGGCTGGAGTACAGTGGTGTGATCATGGCCCACTGCAACCTTAGCCCCCTGGGCTCAAGTGAACCTCCCACCTCAGCCTCCCGAGTAGCTGTAACTACAGGCGCATGCCACCATACCAGGCTAATTTTTGTATTTTTTTGTAGAGACAGGGTTTTGCCATGTTGCCCAGACTACTTTCAAACTCCTGACATCAAACATTCCTCCCATCCCGGCCTCCCAAAGTGCTGGGATTACAGGCATGAGCCACTGTACCTGGCCAGGTATTTTAAGGAGTTATTATTTTCTTCAACTTTAGAGGAAAAAGAATTATGTAAGTCTCCATTTTAGGAGTATTTCTACCAAAAGAACTACCATCATAAAATACATTTTTCTTTGGATAGCACTACAGATGTACTGTTTTTTTTTTTTTTTTTTTTTTTTAATTTCTGGTATTTTTTTTTTTGTTTTTGTTTAGCTGTCCAATAATTTCTTTCTACCTAATTTCAGCAAAATTTTACTCTCCTCATGTTACTTTTCTTCTAGAATACGTTTCAAGTGCTTTCCCTTGGCCTGTTCATTGTGCCCCTGATTAGTCTCTAGCCTTGTATTACTTTCAATCAGAGACGACTTTTTTTTTTTTTTTTTTTTCTGGGTCTCACTCTGTCACCCAGGCTGGAATGCAGTGGCACAAAAAAGGCAACCTTGACCTCCCAGGCTCAAGCAGTCTTCCTCGCCTCAGCCTCCTGAGTAACTGGGACCACAGGCACATTGCCACCATGCCTGGCTAATTTATTTTAATTTTAATTTTTTAAAATAATTTTTTAATTTGGATTTTTTTTTCTTTGAGATGAAGGCTTGCTCTTGTCTCCCAGGCTTGAAGTGCAGTGACAGGATCTTGGCTCACTGCAACCTCCACCTCCCAGGTTTAAGTGATTCTTCTGCCTCAGCCTCCTGAGTAGCTGGGATTACAGGCGCCTGTTGCCATGCCCAGCTAATTTTTGCATTTTTAGTAGAGACAGGGTTTCACCATGTTGGCCAGGAGAGTCTCAAACTCTTGACCTCAGGTGATCCGCCCACCTTGGCCTCCCAAAGCGCTAGGATTACAGGCATGAGCCACTGTCCTCGGCCCTTTTTTTAAATTATTTTTGAGAAAGGGTGTTGCTCTGTCATCCAGGCTGGAGTGCAGTGGCGAGATCAAGGCTCACTGTAGCCTTGACCTCTTGGGCTCAAGCAATCCTGTCACTGCAGCCTCCCAAATAGCTGTGACAATAGGTGTGTACCACCACGCTGAGCTAAGTTTTGTAATTTTTTGGTGGAGACAGGGTTTCACCATGTTGCCAGGCTGGTCTTGAGCTCCTGGGCTCAAGGGATCCACCTGCCTCAGCCTCCCAGGTGTGAGCCATCACACACACCCAGGCTTTTAAAGTTTTAATAGAGATGAGGTCTCCCTTTGTTGGCCAGGCTGGTTTAGAACTCCTAGGCTCAAGCAATCCCCTCTCCACAGCCTCCCAAAATTCTGGGATTACAGGTGTCAACCTTAGTCACAGCCTAAATTTTATCCTTCCTAATGACACTGCAGAGCTTACCTTCTTTATGCTTCGCTTCTTAAGTTAACTAATACACAATTACAGTATGTGGATATTGTGTTAAGTTGTCTTAGGGATACCCTTTTCAGAGGAGGATAGCTTTTGACAAGTTGCTGGCATGGAAAAAAGATATTTGACAATTAGGACTTGCATTTACTGAAATATTTGTTCAGAAAGGGGAAGTATGCTGTCTTTAAAAGAAAAACAGAAAAAAAAGTGGGGGGGGGGAAGTTTTAGCAGAGTTGTTAAAGCGTGACACGTCAGACTACCTAGTTTTGAACCCTTATCCCCTGCCACAAACATGGCAGTCTCACCCTCCTAGGTTCAAGCGATCCTCCTACTTCACCCTCCTGAGTAACTGGGACCATAGGCATGTGCCCCCATGCCTGGCTCATTTTTTTTCTCAAATGGGCAATGTTGGGCAAGTTAATTGACCTCTCTGTGCCTCAGTTTCCTCATCTGAAATGGAGATAATAGTGCCGTGTACCTGATAAAATGTTTGTGAGGATTGTGTATGCAGAGTGCTTAAAACAGTGTTAAGAACATATGATAGGTATTTTTTCTTTCATATAATAATGACTTTGAGGTCCTGCAGGTCTTGAAATGTTTTCAGATAGGTCAAAGAAAGATTATATTTAGTCTTGTCTTAGTGTCTGTTAGCCAGAATATTCCATCTTTTGTCATTCCTGCGTTTCAGAATCTTATGTATTAAAAAGTTTACTGTAAAGCTAGGCCAGGTGCAGTGTCTCGGGCCTGTAGTCCCAGTACTTTGGGAGGTTGAGGCAGGCAGATCAGTTGAGGTCAGAAGTTTGAGACCAGCCTGGCCAACATGTTGAAACCCTGTCTCTACTAAAAGTAAAAAAATCAGCTGGACATGGTGGTGGGCACCTGTAATCCCAGCTACTCGGGAGGCGGAGGCAGGAGAATCACTTGAACCCAGGAGATACAGGTTGCAGTGAGCCAAGATCGTGTCACTGTACTCCAGCCCAGGCGACAAAGTGAGACTTGATCTCAAAAAAAAAAAAAAGTTTATTGTAAAGCTAGGCAGGGTGGTATATGCCTATAATCCCAGCTCTTTGGGAAGCTGAAGGAGAAAGACTGCTTGAGCCCAGGAGTTTGAGTCTAACATGGGCAACATATGAGACCCCATCTCTTTAAAAAAAAAAAAGTAATTTAAAAAATGTTTACTGGACTAGTTTTGTTTACTAGCTTTTTATTATAGTAGCAGTACATGTGCATTGCAGAAATTCAGAAAATACAAGTAAAAAATAACATCACATTCCCATCAGTCAGAGATTGCTGTTAAACTTTTTGTGCACATCCTTCTTGGATGTTTTTTAAATCCTGGTATGTGTATTTGTATTTTAAAATGAAAATGCATAGTCTATTACTTAAATCAAAATGCAATCTTACACATTCTGTTTGGAACCTGCATTTTAGTAGCTAATGATCTCTAGTGTGTCCCTTTTAGCAAAAATTCCATTATTAAAGTACTTTAAAAATCATCTCTTACAGTACTGCCACTATGTTGCTGGGCTGGTAGGAATTGGCCTTTCCCGTCTCTTCTCGGCCTCGGAGTTCGAAGACCCCTTAGTTGGTGAAGATACAGAACGTGCCAACTCTATGGGCCTGTTTCTGCAGAAAACAAACATCATTCGTGACTATCTGGAAGACCAGCAAGAAGGAAGAGAGTTTTGGCCTCAAGAGGTAACAGATTCAGGGTGTTTTGGGGGGAAAGTACTTTTAGACATTCTCTGAAAAATCATTTAACTTTTGTGGTTGCAACTTGTGTGTTTCCTAAGTCAGACCTACCCAAGACAACATAAGAGTATGTGGGAAAACAGGATAGGTTGAGATTAGTTTGCTTCAGGTAGACTGGCTGAATTCCAGGATTTACATCATGTAATCAGTGTATTCAAGCTTTGGTGTCCTTTCTTTCAGTCTTTTTCCAACTGGTGGATATGATAACAACCTATGTGCACTAGCTTAACAAAAAGTTCTCAGGAAAGGCTTTGTTTGGCCAGGTGCACTGGCTCACACCTGTAATCCCAGCACTTTGGGAGGCCGAGGTGGGCAGATCACCTGAGGTCAGGAGTTCAAGGCCAGCCTGACCAACACGGTGAAACCCTGTCTCTACTAAAAAAAACAAAAACAGGTGTGGTGATACATACCTGGAATTCCAGCTACTCGGAAGGGTGAGGCAGGAGAATCACTTGAACCCAGTAAGCAGAGATTGCAGTGAGCTGAGATTACGCCACTGCACTCCAGCCTGGGTAACAGAGTAAGACTGTCTCAAAAAAAGAAAGGACGGGCTTGGTTCTTCTGCTCAGCCCCGAATCAGTTACTGTTGCTAGACATCTGAGTCCTCTGGCCTCACCTGGATTATGTCTATACAGTACGTACAGAATGGATTTCCCTCTAAGAAAGACTTAGCAAGAAGCTGAAAGGGATAGCAGGTAGCCAAAAACTACAGGTGTCTCTCATAAGAGACAGGAGTCTGTCTTTAACGTAATTAAAACATGGATAGGGAACGGAAAGATTTTGGTACTGATTTTGCTCAGAAGGAAACTAGAAAATTTTATGACTGTTTACTGAATTTATTCCGGCATTTACCTTTTGCTTTCCATAAAATTGCTTTCTGTAGCCAAGTACTTTTAAATTTTAAAAAGGTGAATGAGGCCGAGCATGGTGTCTCATAATCCTAGTGCTGAGGCCAGGAGTTCAAGATCAGCCTGAGCAACACAGCACGACACCATCTCTACAAAAAACTGTTAGAAAAGGATTTTGCTGAAAGAGAGCAAAAATATAGTAGAAAAATAAAACTAAATTTTAAAAATTATCTGGGCATGGTGGCATGCACCTGTATTCCTTGCTGCTTGGGAGGCTGAGGCATGAGGATCTCTTGAACCCAGGAGCTCAAGGTTGTAGTGAGTTAAAATCGCACCACTGCACTCCAGCCTCAGTGGCAGAATGAACCCGTCTGAAGGAAAAAAAAGTGACAAAGGGGGAAACAATATTTGCAACTTATACAGCAGATAAAGGGTTAATATTCCTAATGTAAAAAGAACTTCCAAAAGTTAAGAAAAAGACCAACTGCTCCGTAGAAAAATGGGCAAAGAGATAAGAACAGATTGTTCACAGAGACATGCAGATGATTATTAAAAATGTAAAAAGATACTGAGTCTTACTCCTAAGAAAAATTCACTTTTAAACTACCCAGGGGGCTGAGTGTGGCAGCTCACGCCTATAATGTCAACACTGGGAGGCCAAGGCAGGAAGATCACTGGAACCAGGAGTTCGAAATCAGGGTGGACAATGCAGTGTGCCCTGTGTCTTAAAAAGTAAAAATTGGCCGGACACAGTGGCTCCCTCCAGTAATCCCAGCACTTTGGGAGGTTGAGATGCATGGATCACTTGAGGTCAAGAGCTTGAGACCAGCCTGGCCAACCTGGCAAAACCCTGTCTCTACTATAAATACAAAAAATTAGCCAAGCATGGTGGCATATGCTTATAATGCCAGCTACTTGGGAGGCTGAGGCAGGAGAATTGCTCGAACCCAGGAGGCAGAGGTTGCAGTGAGCCAAGACGACACCACTGCACTCCAGCCTGGGCAACAGAGGGAGACTCCTTCTCAAAACAAAAAAACAACCATTTAAAAATGAGCTGGGCATAGTGGCACGTACCTATAGTTCTAGCTCCTTGGGATGCTGAGGTAGGAGGATTGCCAGCCCAGGAGTTCAAGGCTGCAGTCAGCCATGATCGCACCACTGCATTCTAGCAGCCTGGGTGACAGCAAGATCCTTGGCTCTTTAAAAAAAACCAGACCAGGCCGGGCGCGGTGGCTCAAGCCTGTAATCCCAGCACTTTGGGAGGCCAAGGTGGGTGGATCACGAGGTCAAGAGATTGAGACCATCCTGGTCAACATGGTGAAACCCTGTCTCTACTAAAACTACAAAAAATTAGCTGGGCATGGTAGCGCGTGCCTGTAATCCCAGCTACTCAGGAGGCTGAGGCAGGAGAATTGCCTGAACCCAGGAGGCGGAGGTTGCAGTGAGCCGAGATCGCGCCATTGCACTCCAGCCTGGGTAACAAGAGCGAAACTCCGTCTCCAAAAAAAAAAAAAAACAAAAAACCCCAAAAAAACAAAACACTAGACCAAACCAAAACACTACCCTGAGCTCAGACATGGCCTCTTAAGTTTCCTAGGTGACTTGTGTGCAGCCAGGGTTGAGAAACCGCTCTTGTTTGCCCCTCTTTTGCTGACAACAGGTCTCAGAGAAGGGAAGGGGTTTGTCTGAGGATCACCGTGAGGCAGTGGCTGCTCTGGAAGTGGGGTCTCAGTGTCCCCGCTCCCAGCCCGGCACCTCACCCTGTTCCACCATCTCCCAGACGGAACATCAGCCATGGGCATGTGATTCATCAGCATGAGCCACACCATCCTGCACACTTGGGAGCAGAGCCCTGCTCTTCTCATTCACTTCCTTTATCTGTAAAATATAATTATTTCTCCACAGGGTGGTGGCGTGAATAAAATGAGATGAACTTCTAGTGCAGAATGCTTAGGAAAGGTTCTGGCCATTTCATAAAAGTTGAATCATGCCAAGTGTGGGCCCAGGTGATTGGCTTCTTTTGCTAGCGTGTCTTCAGGGCCCTTCCATGTGGAACATAAATTAGTGCTGCATTCCTTTTTATTACCCAGTAATATTCCACTATATGGATAGACCACATTTATCCGTTCATCAGTTGGAGGATATTTGGGTTCTTTTGGCTATGGTGAATAGTATTGTGTACATTTGCATATAAGGTTTTGTGTGGACGTGTGTTTTCCTTTTTCTTGGGTCTATACCTAAAAGTAGAATTGCTGGGTCATACAGCAGCTCCAACCTTGTGAGGAGCTGCCAGACTCTTTCATGGTGGCTGCACCATTTTACATCCCCATCAGCAGTGTAAGAGTTCCAGTTTCTCCACGTCCTCATTAAAACTCTTACCGTTTTTTTTTTTTTTTTTAATTTATAAGCAGAAAATGACCATAACAATATTTTATGTAATAATTGCTTCAAGAATAGTTTTATTATACTGTTCTTTCTTTCTTTAATTTTTTGGAGCTCATTGACCTTTATTTTTGGCTACAGGAAACTGAACCAGGGCTCTGTGAACTCACCTGCCCACCCAGCTTCACAATGGGTTTTTCCTAAAGCTGGACTCCAGGCTTGTAGAGTCCCAGGCACTTTTTATTGCACCCTGTCCTTTTTTTTAAAAAAATTTATTTATTTTACTTTAGGTGCATACTATATCTGGCATTTCTCCCCATGTTATCCCGCCTTTCCCTCCCCACCCCCACTGTCTCTCCCCTACCCACCCCCAACTGCCCCCAGTGTGTGATGCTCCCCTCCCTGAGTCCACGTGTTCTGGTTGTTTAGCACCCACGTATGAGTGAGAACATGTGGTGTTTGGCTTTCTGTTCTTGTGTCAGTTTACTGAGAATAATGGTTTCCAGATTTATCCAAGTCCCTATAAAGGACCCGAACCCATTGTTTTTTATGGCTGCATAGTATTCCCTGGTGTATATGTGCCACATTTCCTTTTTTTTTTTTTTTTAAAACGGAGTTTCGCTCTTGTTACCCAGGCTGGAGTGCAATGGCGCAATCTCGGCTCACCGCAACCTCCGCCTCCTGGGTTCAGGCAATTCTCCTGCCTCAGCCTCCTGAGCAGCTGGGACTACAGGCACGCGCCACCATGCCCAGCTAATTTTTTGTATTTTTAGTAGAGACGGGGTTTCACCATGTTGACCAGGATGGTCTCGATCTCTTGACCTCGTGATCCACCCGCCTCGGCCTCCCACAGTGCTGGGATTACAGGCTTGAGCCACTGCGCCCGGCCTTTTCTTTTCCAGTCTATCACTGATGGGCATTTGGGTTGGTTCTGGGTCTTTGCTATTGTACACAGGGCTGCAATGAACATAGGTGTGCATGGTCTTTATAGTAGAACGATTTATAGTTCTTTAGGTATATACCCACTAATGGGATTGCTGGGTCAAATGGAATTTCTATTTCTAGGTCCTTGAGAAATTGCCACACTGTCTTTCACAATGGTTGAACTAATTGACGCTCCCACCAACTGTGTAAGAGTGTTGTTATGTCTCCACATCCTTTCCAGCATCTGTTGTCTCCAGATTTTTTAATGATTGCCTTTCTAACTGGCATGAGATGATATCTCACTGTGGTTTTGATTTGCATTTCTATAATGACCAGTGATGATGAGCATTTTTTCATATGTTTTTTTGCATCATATTTGTCTTCTTTTGAAAAGTGTCTGCTCATATTCTTCACCCACTTTTGAATGGGGTTGTTTTTTTCTTGTATATCTGTTTTGGTTCTTTGTAGATTCTGGATATTAGCCCTTTGTCAGATGAGTAGATTGCAAAAAATTTTCCCATTCTGTTGGTTGCCAATTTGCTCTAATGATTTCTTTTGCTGTACAGAAGCTCTGGAGTTTAATTAGATCCCATTTGTCTATCTGGGCTTTTACTGCCATTGCTTTTGGTGTTTTAGTCATGAAGTCCTTGCCTGTGCCTATGTCCTGGATGGTTTTGCCTACGTTTTCTTCTAGTGTTTATATGGTGTTAGGTTTTATGTTTAAATCTTTGCTCTATCTGGAGTTAATTTTAGTGTGAGGTGACAGGTAGGGGTCCAGTTTCTGCTTTCTGC